AAAAAAAAACCCTGAAAATATCCCCTGGTAGGGGGCTCCATCTCGTCAAGTTACAACCCTCTCGAGTCAGCAATACAACCCTGTACAGCAACAGGAATATATTGGTATAATACACACACTGCAATACCTTCTCCCAGGTCTCTAAAACCCCAAAAGTAGAAAAGGAAAAAAATAACAAGTAACAACTTACCAATAGAAAAGGGTATTCTTTTTTCTTTTTTTTTACCCCTCGTATTCCTTACAATCACATCCATCATGTCCTCAAGGTCCACCACCAAGGAGGCACACGCAATAACAAAAACAAATGCTCACCCACTCCAAACACACACATACACACAACAACATTGTCAATCAAGTATCCCAATTATCCAATAATGGCATACCACATTAACACAACATTGGAATTCCTTACACTAATGTCTCTTTAAAGGTATCAAGGGAGACAGCCAACAACACACAACCAAATTCTTGAGTGGACACCGACCCTCTGAACAAAATCCATTATATTCAGACTCCGTAACTCTGACTATTGAGTACTGAAACCAAATTGTTTCAGAGACGCACGAAATGTTAGCGATGGGTTTCGTTGCAAAACCACCGTCTTCTCACGTTCAGTGATTCCCCAATATTATAATAACCCTGCCCTAGCAGAACCTGCGGCAGTGAAATGTTAGCGAGTCCACATGGGCAAACCAATTCACAGATAGAAAACATTATATCCTTGTATACTGTTTTTTTTTTCCCTCTGGAGAGGCAGTTCCCTCTCACACACACATCGTCGTTACCAGCAATGAATAAAGAGATTACCTTATTTCTCACACTTTTCTTAGAGGGTTTTCATTTACACTCCTACGCACTGCCACCCGCAGGCGACAGTTTGATGTCACATTCTTTCTGCTTCATCTGTGTGGTCAGAACGTGGCCATTTCCCAAATCCCAGTGATGTATGGGGTATTGCAGGGCTGTTGAGTGAATTGAATGCCCATTTCACTCCACTGCAGACTCTCTTCAAAGAAGGACGAGAGGGTTATCTGTCCCACACACACACATGAACCAGTACTAACTTGATGCTCGCGGCGCAGTTCATGGCATGATAACACACTTTCCCGTTCTGAAAAGGATAAAGGCATCCAGAAACAAAAAGGCATTGACATTGACGTTTATTCGACACATACGAGCAACATAATAAACATGAGAGTGGTGCTGCTTTTGTGTATTCGTTTCCATACGACAATGAACAACACTGGGGACTGTTAGCACGGTAGGGTGGTCAACATTCTCAGAGTCATCCTCCTCTGGTTCGTCCCCTTCCCTTCCCTTTTCCAGAATAGCCCCAATTCAGGTGTGGCGGTTTTGGGGTCCAACTCCTCTTCCCAGATGTTCTGCAAGTGAAAAAAAAAAGCCTTGTAATTCGGAAATGTGTAAATGGTTTGAAGTCATACCTATGCCTACTGGAAACTCGTTGTGGGGAGTGGTGGTTTTAAGGACGAATAAAAGCCCGCAGAAATGCACTCTCAATAAGGTACTGAAGGTTTTTTTTTTTTTTTTTTTTTTTTTTTTGGGGGGGGGGGGAGCAACTCTAGTAAATTGGCATCACTTCCAATTCCGCCATCTTTACCCTTTTTTATTGTCTTGTAGAAAAAATAATCCTTGTGTGGTTTAGTTTTTAGCCGGTCGACAAATAAAAAAAAAAAATAAAATAAAAGAAAATGATAGGGCAACAATCCACAGGGTAAACAATAATGGCACAATAATTGTGTCCTGCATTATTAATTCAACAATGAATACATGGATGCGTGCGGGAGTATGCCTTACCAAAGTACCAGTACACTCTCAATCCAGGAATAAGTTTCTGAGTATGACGCTTTATTTTAAGGAATAACAAAAGAAAAAAAAAAAACAATGTATTGCGTTTTATAAATACAGTAATCCTTCTAAAGTGATTTTTTTTTTCTTTTTGTTCACTATACATAATTAGTGAAAAAAAAACAATTTATCCTTTACCGAAAGACAAGACGACCTAGAAAACTTCCGACAGCTTCTTGCCCATAGGGAACATATGAAAGAGAATACCATACCAAGCAGCCATACTGGAATAAACCACATAATCCACACAAAAGTGCTGATTTGAACACCACAGCAATTATCAGACTCAAGAACAATGATCCAATGTAGAGAAGTGAAGATGTGCGTCGGTAGTCATCAAACATGTAATGAAGCTGGGCAGTAGGCCCCATTATGATGAATGTACCCACTAACGACATGACAGCTCCCATTGTTGATAAAACAGAATATTTCCAGTAGTATCCCATACCTAAAGCGACCCAACCCATTGCACTAGAAAAAAACCCTAGTACTGTAAACAGCAAGAACCCCTCGACTCGTGAGCTCCAAGACATTCCCTGAAACCACTGATCATCATTTTCCTCAAGAGCAACATGCTCACCAATTCCTACAGGAACTTCCATTTAGAAGAACTCTATTTATGCCTAACTGTGAGTTACGTCCTTTTCACACAAAAAAAGAACTCTCCAAACCCTAATTTTTACCTAAAAAGAAGGACAAGAAAAGAGAAAAATAATAATTACAATAACAATAATTATTATTATTGTTCCACCCACACCACCACTTTATCTTCTTGATTGATTTATATTTTAAAAGCATCCAAAAAAAAAAAAAAAAAAAAACAAAAAAAACAATGACACAAATACACTCCGCACTGCCCATCATCATAAAGCGTTGACTAAATTAATTGGCTCGAATAAATTTTTCGAGTTCAACGCACCGAGTGGGAGAGAGGGTAAGGGATAATTTGTGCGAGTCATTAAAAGTACACGTTTTTTTTTTATTCTCTACAAGGCACACATAAAACCAGATTATTTCATTCTCATAACCTCAATACATAAAGAGAGACTTCTTCATTCTACAAGTTTTTATTGATGAAGGCATCACCCGTAAAGTTCGTTGTACCAAAGATTAGCTAGAAACCGTTGGAAAGAGAAAAATAAAATAAAAGGTTACAAGTATACTTACCATGCAAAGACACAGTTAAACTGTTCTGCACTTGACGTTGCATTAGAAAATTAGAATGAAAAAAAAAAAAAAATAGGTTCACATAAGCACATTGCTAATCTATTTGGAAACCACATACGATGACAACCCAGAAAGAAAGAATAAAAAAAAAAAAAATAGAAAAAAAAAACGCCACTGGTGTACATCCTCAAGCTATTGAAGTAGAGGACAGAAAAAAATATGTTGGAACTTTCTCTTTTTTTTTGTATTTAATTACTTATTGAGTCATCAGCCAGTAGTTTTTATACTCCTCATTGTGTAAGATAAGTTCATCATGAGTTCCCCGTTCAACACATTGTCCTTGTTCCATTATTAAAATCTGATCACAGTCTCGTATTGTAGCCAAATTATGGGCAATAATTATTGATGTCATTCCATACAGCTCCTGTAATTCGTCAAGGTTTTGCTTGACAAGAGCTTCTGTTTCTGTGTCCAGTGCGCTGGTGGCCTCATCAAGCAGAAGAAGTCTGGGTCTTCGCAGTACCGCTCTTGCGATGGCGACTCTCTGTTTCTGTCCACCACTTAGACTGCGTCCGAGATAACCCACTTGTGTTTCATAACCCTTTGGCATGCGCAGAATTTCATCATGTATACATGCAGTACGTGCTGCCTCTTCAATCTCTTCATCCGTGGCATCTTCCATTGAATATCGAATATTTTCTCGTACAGTACCACTAAACAAAGAAGGTTCCTGTAGTACGATACTGATATTTTCTCTCCATGTAACAATATCCAATTCAGATAAATTTTTTCCATTTATGAAAACATGACCACGTTTAGGGTTATAAAAGCGAGCGAGAATTTGAATTACGGTAGACTTACCACAACCTGTCTGACCAATGAGTCCATTAGAATTTCCATTACCAAAGTAAAGATCAGTATAGTTAAGTACAACAACTTCGGGGCGTAATGGATATGAAAAAAGTACTTTCTCAAATATAATATCACATCCATCACCTATATCGGTATCACCAGGTTCGTAGACATCGATATCAGGGACTCTATCAATAATTGAAAAAACTTTCTTAGCGGAGTACAAAGCACTATGAAAACCTTTCACTAAACTCCCTACCTCTACACCGATACTTAGAAAACAAATCATTATAGCCATTGAAGCTATCATAACATCAGAAAAAGTTGCTTCAGATTTACCTATAAGTATACTTCCATACCAGTATGACATACCAACAGTTCCATAAAAAAAAAACTGTATCAGACCAGAAAATAATCCATTAAATATACTTAATCTTTCAATTCGTCGTTGATCAGCAGCAATAGCTTGACGATATTGTTGTACCATTCGGTCTTTAAGATTGAATGCTGTAATAGTACGTATTGAAGAAAAACATTCATTCGTTATAGTATGAATGACTTCATCTTTTTTCTTTGAGACATGATCAGAAAGACACTTATCCTGAATTATCAAAGAGACAACAACTAGTGGCATGCAAGCCGCAGCAACAAGTGCTACTTTCCATTGATAAATGAGAGCAATAACAATACCTGCAGCAATGAAAACTATAGTACGAACAACGGATCCTATAGATGGTCCCCAAAGCTGATGAATAACCTCACAATCACCAGAAATAATACCAGCGAGACTACCAGGATCACGGGAAGGAATATCAAAAAAAGACTGATCTTGACGTAGTATGGCACTAAAAAGAGATCTTCGTAAAGAATATGTAAGATGTTCACCAGAAATTCCATAAAAAGACTGGAGTAATGAACTCAAAATACCTGCACATGCTAAAGCAACAAAAATTAGAGAAGCTTTCAATATACCTTTACGTAAGTTGTCTTCATTCCCGTCCACAGCGTATTTAGCCATAGCGGTTACTACAGTTCCATAAATAACTGCTGCCAATGGTAATAAGGGTGCACTAATAATAGAACCTAATGTACCTAGAAAAATAGACCAGTTATTTTTAGTAAGCCGTGCCACTCTTAGTAAGGAAACACTAGTTTGGTTAACCTCATATTCCGCACGATATTCATATGGTATTTCAGAGGATGTAGAATTACTATTTGAGGAAATAGATTCATCTAATTGATTATCACTTATTTCTTCTATTTCATCCGCTTCATTCATTGGTTCACCGTAGTCTAAATCGTTAAATAAAATATTATCATTATAATTAAGATTATCATCAAAATTATTAACATTTTTAGAAACAGATCCACGATTTTGCCAACTAGCCAAAGCAGAAAAACGACCATTTTTATGTACAAGCTCATCATAAGTTCCCCATTCTGAAATGTAACTATCCTCTCCATGGGTTCTTTCCAAATGAAATATACAATCTACATGACGAATCGTTGAAAGTCTATGAGCTACTACAATAACTGTCATATCTTCTTCTTTCATTAAAGTATTTAGTGCTTCTTGCATTTCCATTTCAGATTTTCGATCTAAAGCACTTGTTGCCTCATCTAATAAAAGTATTGATGGATTCCTAACTAAAGCACGGGCGATAGCTACACGCTGCTTTTGTCCTCCACTTAACTTTCCTTCACTTAGTGAAGTATAATATCCTTGAGGTAATTGTATAATAGTTTCATGAATATTTGATCGTTTACAGGCCGATATAATCTCATCCATGGTTGCATGATAATTACCCATGCGAACATTATCTATAATAGTACCTGTAAAAAGATCAGGTTCCTGAGAAACCACTCCAATATGTTGCCGCCATTGATAAAGATCTAATAATCTTAAATCATTTCCATCTACTAGTATTGCCCCTTCAGTAGGATCGTAGAATCTTTGAATAAGACTCATAATAGTAGATTTGCCACATCCAGTTACACCTGTAAAAGCTATTTTTTCACCCTTCCGTATTTTGAAGTTTAATCCATTGAATACAGATGCGCTCTTGCGACTATTATATCTAAAAGAAACCATTTCAAACACAATAGAATCATTAAAACCATTAAAAGGTGTACCGAAACTTTCAATATCTATTTCTGGAATACGGTCAATTGTTTTAATAATTTTATAAGCTGCTGATCTTGAATCCATAAATGAAATAAGGTTGGGAAACAACGTTAGCACACCCATTGCTGCATATATAAGAGACATAAAGGAGGAAGTAACACCACCACCATCAGATCTTCCTTCTTTTATGAGATAAAAAGAAAACCCCAAACAACTGGATAAAATAAGATAAATCAAGGCCGTTATAAGACCAGTTGTCAAACCAATCAAAACTTGCTTCTTAACTCCTGTTTTACGGGATTGCATAAGAAAACTAGAAAATCGATCGACTTCGTATTCCTCTCTATTAAATATCTGAGTTGTTTTGATATTTTTCATTACCTCAGTGGAAAGAGAGGCCGCTGATGAATAATGTTCGCGAGCTCTAGATGCATAACGGTTGACAATCACCATCATTACTCCAGCCACAATACCTCCTATAGGTAATATACCTAGAAGAAGTAGAGTAATTTCCCAGCATGCAATAAGAGCAAAAAAGAATCCAAATACTCCCATACCCAAATTCATAATTCCAGTACCTATTTTTTCACCAATTCCGTTTTGTATCGTATATGTATCACTAATCATACGTGATACCAATTCACCAGGCTTATGCTTGTCATGCCAATCAATTTCTTGTCGTAAAACAGCATCAAAAAAACGTATCTTTAACCTTGAAACGATTTTGGCAGCAGTTAAACTCCAGCAAATATTTTGTGTGGCTACAAGAACAGAGGTACAGGATCCGAGTATTACCACAGCCATGGCAAATTGTCTTGCTATATCTTTTGGGTCTGACAAAAAGGCACGATATGTCATTTGTCCATAAACAAACATGAACACAGGGGTACTCATACCATTTGCGAAGGCTGCAATGGAACCTAAAATCATTACAAATCGATCACACAGAGTAGCGTCACGGAACAGATCATCAAAGTCCGCCTTCTTATGTAAATCTCTCTTGCTCTTATCCATGTATTCTTCCTCTTCTTCTTCTTCCATTATTTGGGAATCTATCTCATGGTAACGGGTCATTTCTTTATTTATTTTTTCCCCCCTTAACAACTATACATATATATGTACATATATATTCATATATATAGAGAGAGAAAGAAAGAAAAAAAAAGGATAAAAATAATTAAAAAAAAAAGACTTTAAAATACCCAGAAAGAAAAAAAAAAAAAAAAACCTCAGAGAGTCATACCACATTGAGAAATCTATATCAAACTAATTGAATTAAAGTTTATTTAGAAAAATAAAAAACAAATCAGTGATTCTTTCTAATTTTTTTTCTTTTTAAGTCTCAGTTTCTTGGTGATTAATCTGTAAATCTAGCATAATCACGAAAGTGTAACTTTATCTACTGTCATCTCTCTCTCTCTCTCTCTCCCTTTCTGTTTGTTTGTCTGTCTGTCTGTCTCTATCCATTTCTCTCACTCTTTTTATCCTTCTCTATTCTACTGAGCCTCACCAACTTTAACTGGATAGATGAGTTCCACAACCTTATCCCACGTCATTGTCCGTATTCCCTCCATGTTACCATACTCACTGTGTGTGCATAAAACAATGTCTGCTATTTGCAAGTCGTTCTCCACTTTTGCACCACCCTCTGAAACAATAAGATTAGCAGTATTATAATGTCTGGATGAAATAAATCCTTCTGTAAATCCAACGCGTTGATTTAATAAAGGAAGTTCCTCATGACGGAATCCGTACACATTTTCCTCAACCCAAGAATGTGCCTGTACAGAATCTCGGACATACTTCTCTGGTAAGATCCAACATCCCCTCACAAGAGCTGTTAGTAATTTGATTGTTAACTGACCATTGGTAATTAAATGGGTTAAGTTAGAAGGTACTGGTGCATTTGAACGACATTCTGCCACTGTTGCATTTGGCAACTGTTTAATTTCTGTAAGAAGCTCTGACCCTTCAAATCCACTTATAGTAAAGACACGCGGTTCAACAGATCGACTCTTTTTTAAAGGACAAGTCGTTGTAATTGAAAGTGGAACATTTACAGAAGAAGCGCTTCGAAGTCTCTTTTCATTACAGTTCTGACGTTGAGGAGTTGGAGACAATGAAACATTCCTCAGGGATCGTCGTAGTTCCTCGTCAAGTCGTCTTTCAAGTAGTGCACATCTGTTTGTAGCAGCATTAAGTTCAATATCTAGATTTTCTGCTCTTTTACACATAGAAGCATATTTATTTTTATATTCTTCTGCCATTTCTTCTGCTTCTTTCTTACAACGCGAAATTTGTTTTAAAGTTTCTTTTTCACGTTCTGCATCTTCCAGATTGTTTCGTAATTCTGTTATGATATTTCTGTTATCAGTTTCTTGTTTGATCTTATCCTGCACAGCCGCAGAAAGCTCACTCTTCACACGAACAAGTTCTTCCTGTGTGGAAGCAAGTTGATCTTTTAAAATACGAAAGTCTTTCGTGTAGTCAGCATCAGAATTATCCTGTTGAGCCATTAATCGTTGTACTCGTTCTTCTGCGTGGTTTAATGCCTCACGAAGTGTTTCAGCATCCTTAGTAACAGAAATTAATTCTTGTTCCCCTTTCATTACAGCTTCTTTTGAGGTACTAAGATCTTTTTCCAATTGGATTATCTGTTTTTCCCGTTGCACTAACACAGCACTAACGGTTGAAAGTTCCTTCGATGATCTTTCCAACTGACGTCTTAAGGATGATTTTTCCTCCTCCATAGACAATCTTCCACCTTTCGCTTCACGGACAAGAGCTTCTGTCTGTAGTTGTTGCTGACAAATAGCCAAATGATGTTCATCTCGAAGGCGTTTTATTTCTTTTTCATGATCGTGACTCAACTGTTTTATTTCTTCTTCTGCAACGTTGTAACGGTGACGCAGTGAAGATAACTCATCACTGATGGTACGATTTTTATCCTTAAGTAAATGTAATTCCTCTTTAAGGTCTTTTACAATTTCGTCCTTAGAAGTTGTTATTTGACGTAATCGCTCTTCACTCTGTTGTAATTGTGTATTTAACGCTTCTGTATGTGTTTTTTCAATTTTTTCTACAAATTCCGTGTGCATATTCTCCAGTTCAGAACAGCGAGATATGTATCCCTCCAAAGAACGTTGTGAATCCTCAAGTTTTTCTTTAAGAGTCTTTATGACATCTCGAAATCCTTCATTTTCAGTTTGTAAACGAACTCTCTCTTGTTCTGTATTAATGTTATTTGCTTCCATAGCCTCTAATTCTTCGGTAACTCTTATTATTTGTTCTCGCATCATTTCTGCACGTGAATTATTCTCAAATTCTGAACGTTCACTCATTTCTGCAAGACGTTTATTGTGTTCTTCCTTAATGTTGTCAAGTTGTTGCTTTAGAAAATCACTTTCATTTTTTCTCTGTGCAATCAATTCACTCATCTGTGTTTCTAGTCTATGTCTTCCTTTAGCCTCACGATCTGCCTTAGCATTAGCTTCATCCAGTTCACTTTTTATAGCCTTAACGTATTCCCGCATAGTTTGCAATTCCTCACGTGATTGAGTTAGTTCAAATCGAGCAATCTCTAAATCTCGTTGACTATTAGACCATTTAAGCCGTTCACGATTCAAATTACTCACACGTGAACGTAACTCATCAATCTCTTGAAGTGATGCAAACGCTGTATTTGACATTGAAAGTCGGCATGAAACTCTTTGAGAAGGGCATTGCATCACTCGCATAGAAGCCCCACTGAAAGGCATTTTTGTTAACTCAACTTCATTCTCTACTTTTGCCGTGGTTGCTGTTACCGTCTCTTCAACCTGCTTTCCATCGACATTTATCTCACTCTCTTTACAAGTGGCATCAGGGATTGGGTCCGCCATGTGAATACTCTTTTGTAGCCACAAGCTATCGTTTTCGTTGATGTTCATAGAAATTGTTCCCAATAAGCTTGCAAATAATAATAATAATAATAAGAAAAAAAAAGAAAAGAAATACTCGAAAAAGAAAATAAAATAAGAAAAAAAAAGAAAGGAGAAACAAGAAATCCCTTTTCACGTATGTATGCACACACACACACACAAAAGAAAAAAAAAAAAAGTTTTTTTTTTTTTTCTCTTTTCCGCCTGGATCCTACAACACTGCACACATCACCAGAAAAAAGACTAAGACAACAAAAATCAGAACACTCATACAAACATTTCTCAAACCTGAAGAAAAAAAAAAAGAAAAGATATAAAAAAAAAAAGAGAATGAGAGAAATACAAAAAAAAAAAAAGAGAGGACAACCTTAAACAGATGGATGGTAGTACGGCTCGATCATCCTAGAAAAATGCCATAATTGACTATCTTCTACAAGGGTTGTGGTGCCGTTTCTCATTAATTCATGAATTCCTGTTAACTGTTCTTCCTCTGTTGTGTCTGGCGCAACCGCAGCAGGGACACAGAATGTCACCCCATATTCTTTTAACGCCGAAGAATCGGACAGGACACGTTCAATGATGGCTCTCCAACTCTTAACGTCACCTTGCCGGACAACACGTACATAAATGCTCTCTATTTTTCGCTGCTTCTGCTGTTCCCGCTCCTTAATGAAAGCAGGTAATATCTCTTCAGATGCATCACAATCGACTAAAAAGGTTGTACGTTCCTCGTAGGGAGAAAAAATATCCTTTGAGAAATGAGTAGGAGAAAATTTATCCTTCTCCCTCGAAAGATCTTGAGGGCCTGCCCCTGTAACCTCAAGTCGTTTTATGCTTTCCAATCGACGAACCTTGCCATTGAGAATAGCCGACTTGTCCTCAAGAAGTCGAAGGAACTCCGCAACATTAGCTGATGTAACACGCACATGGATACCGTTAGGGATAAGTTCTACAAGTTTTCCATTACGGGGCAAACTAAAAGTTAAATTGAGTTGCGCAATTTGTGGTCCCGTAACGTTGCCATGTTTTAGCGCATCCACCTTGGCGTAGAAATCACTTACCGAAGTACCTGCAGCAAAGTCAACAGTGGATGGAATGGGAGTGTGGTTTACTTTCGGCACTGATACATCAGAGGTCATAGTAAACGCTTGATTATTATTATTATTATTGTTGGGACTTAGTAAGCCACTCTCAAGATTGTTTGGGGAAAATAGAGACTGTTCTTTGTTCTGTAACTGATTATTAATTGCAGTTGAAATTGCCGCACTTCTGATTGATTGTGTTGTTGAAAAATTTGCTTGATTATCTTGCCCACGTTTGTTTGTGAAATTTTCATTTCCACGAGCATTGCGGTATTGCTTAACACAATCCAAATACTTTGGCAGATCCTCATATTGTACGTTGATCGTGGAACCGTTTTCGATTAATTCTTGAATTGTTCCATCTGGTAGTGGTGCCACCCATTTTAAATCAGCGTTTTCAAAATCGTTCTTATTGTAGGTAATTAACTCATCAAGATAACCAAAGAATTCTCTGTTGGACGTTGGAGAGAGTAGAATATTAGGCTCCTTGTATTCATTACCATTACCAACTCCTGTAACTCTTATAGGTGCTGACTTCTTTTCTTCACTTCTGGGAAACCTTGACGATGTAGTTTCTGTTGTTTTCTGGGGCTGTTTCACCATAGATTCCATTGCGGCATGACCTACATTGATATCAAACGCCTCGCCCATAGTGGCCAAACAGACAGCCATCTTTCCAATCACAGCCCGAACTTCACTGTGCTCAAACGGTGACAGTGAGGCCTCATTATTGTACGCAAGATGAGACAACTCCCCCATACACGACATCATTTGCATTAATGAGTGCACTACTGCCTTGTTACTTGGCACAATACCCATCAATTCCAGACGTTTACGGTTTTCAACAGCAATATCATCAAATGTGGGAGTGCGAGCTGAAGGTACTTCCTTTGAGAGCATTTTAGACCGTACTCTGTAGTTTCTCAGAAAATTGAAAAAAGGAAAAAAAAAATGTAAAACAAATAGGAAAAAACAATCGGAAGCATAAAATAGACTATTGCGTTTGTGTGATAAAAGAAAACACACACATTCAAAGGAGGAAATTAACACAGTAGAAGAAGAAGAAGAAAAAAAAAAAAAACAATTAATACTGTCAAAAATAGCAGAAATACTAGTTGCAAATACACAAAGAATAATAATAATAATAATAATAATAATAATAATAATAATAAAGCTGCAGACACGCACAAAAATCACAATCACAGACCCATATAAATATCCACTTAATCAACGACATCAGAAATAATTTAAGACACATCATGGTAACCTCATGATATCTTTCTGTCTGATGTAAAAACAAAAGAAAAAAAAGATCAAATGATTTCTTATAAGGGTAAGGGAAGACCCATAGTTTCTTTCCAATAGCGACTTACAAAATTATCTACCTCGACCTCCCCTTCATAATGATTACTAGAATTCAGCTTGAGTCCACTTAGTTTGCAACGGTTTTCTTCGGTCTTGTGTTTGTCAATAGATAACACAGGTGCCAGAGAAAACATGTCAAAAATAGAGAGAAGTTCAGCTATAAGAGGGGAAACATTTGCCTGGATATCTTCTGAGCATTTGTGGTACGCTGTAGAGCGAGCCATATTTAATAGTTGCAACATTTTTTGATAGTTTTGTAACTCTTTATCTACATGGGAAATAATAATAGAATTGTGATGTACAACAGACTTTAAGGTTCTTCCTGAAAATGGGTAGAGATCATGAGGGATAGACGTACACATTAATTGTATACAATATCTACAAATATCAGTTAACGCTGACAATAATAACGCCTCATAGACTGAGCGAGCAGAATTTAACACGGCAGAAGCAAATTTATCCGATATTGCCTGAATCAATAGCTGAAGCTCTTTCACCAGAGACAAATTGGAGAGCACAACACACAAACCATTTTGACCCTCCACCCATTCCTGTACACACTGGTAAAGTGATTCGACTAGTGGTAAGGTTGTTAGTGTTGGGAAAACAGAAACGTGTTTAAATGTTTGTAAAAACTCCACAAAGGGTGATGTGCATAAAAAATCAAGATAACATCGTTCCATTGATTCAGCATTAGTCAAAGTTGTCAAAGAATGGTCCCCAAATGGTTGATTTACTTCCTGTATCTGTGGTTTGTCCAATTCCAAGATTGAGCAAAACCGTTGTAATAGAATGGACACCTCATACCACCGAGCAACACCATCACTGAGGAGATTCTCAATCAACATCCGCCGCTCATACAACTGCTCAATCGTAACAATTCTTGAGGCATCACAATGCCCCGAGTCATCACTTGTTGTTCCATTTTCATAAAACTGAAGAAAAAAGTCATCCTTGAGATCTTGTGATGGTAACGTTGAGCCCATGTGTTCCTGTGCATTCTCCTGTTCAGCACCGCCACCGCCGTGAGTAGTGGCGGTTGCCTCCGTTGTGATGGAAAACAATTCATCCAACAGACTCAACGACGCAGCCTGCGGAGATAACACCGACGGTGCAGCCGCACTGGCAGAAGTACCACCGCAGAAAGCACACATCGTGCAGTCGGCCCTGTTGGCTCGGGTACATTGAGAACAATTCCACGTACTTGCCTCCATTTTTTTTTTATTTTTTGTTATTTTTACCTAAAACAAAGTATTTTTAAACATAAAAAGAAAGGAATAGTCTAGTCCTCTGTTGTTTTTTTTTTTTTTTTTCTTTCCCCCTTCTAGGAAAAAGAAAAGAATAATAAAAGTGAAAAGAAATTAATATGGATAAACTGTGATGAGTCTCAAAAACTCCCCATTCTCTATAAATACATTTTTTTTTTTTGTCAATTGGTATGGAAAGAAGGTTTTCAAAACATTTTTACCCGACTCCCACGTTCCCCTTCGCAAATCCCACCCTTTTTTTTTTTTTTTTTTTTTTGCAAAACTTTGACAAAAACTATTACTTCGCCATATATAGAGGGTCTGAATGTGTGTTGTCCCCTTTTTTTTTCCATTATATTCATAATTGTGGTTTTTAGGGAAATATTTGTGTAATGAATCGTTATATTTTCCCTCGAAATGTTTATATACCCAAATGAATAGCACGAGTCTCTGTTTGAGGAATCATTTCAAATGGTTGGATAGATTTATTTACCAGTGATTAATTGCAATAGACTAAATATGATGATGTCGTCGATCCATAGAGTCCTGCAACGTATTCATTATGTTCGTTTCGTCTTTTTGGAATTTCCAAAAAAAAAAAAAAAAAAAAATCACTTTTTCGAAACTTTACTCTTTAACGCAAAATCTGTTCAGATACAAATGACAAAAACAAATTATCCCATTTACCAATCAAATACTACAAAGCTATACCATTCCAATAGAAGGGCCTCAACAACAATCAAAGAAAAAAAAAAAAAGAGAGAGAATCTAGGAAAGAAGAAAACCAATAATAGAGAATATCAGGGGCAGAAGCACGTACAGAAGAAAACGAAAAAAAACAATATGAACTAAATAGATTGAAACATTAAAAAGTAACAGAACTGTATATATATATAGGGGTATATGCAGATAAGTCAGTAAAAATCATATTCCATCATATTCCTGCGCGCCGAGAGGATACGTTACCACCAAGAGCACCAATTGTAGAATTGTGGTTCCTGTTAAGAGTTCTACTATCACCACTGATAGACGATGAAGAGTAGAACATAATTCCATGTATGTTCCCTTCCACATGCTTCCCTTTTGTGCTGAGAAAGTCCAAGGGTTGAGATAAGCCTAAAGTGGCACTTTGAAGTTTTTTCGCATCAAATACTTGACTGTCATGTAGCATTACTAATCTGAAACTCAAGTATATGTTGTAAATATCAACGAAGGTACACGAGAAAAAAAAATAAAATAAAATAAAAATAAAAAATAAGAAATAACATAGAAAAATTATTTATCAGATAAGTACAAAAAACAAATAGAAAGAAAAAAACATTTAAAAGAAATCACAAACTTAATAACTACATATGATACTCTTTTGAACTGTTAACTATTTTCGGGAAGCAAGTACCTACTACGCTCGTCGTATCCACCAGAGTGTCCCACTCGTAGTAGAACCATAATAACATCAAGAATAGACTTGATATTCTTTGTCACAAAGACGCTTAACATTTGATATCCCTTCCACCAAAGCTGTATGCGTACAGCCAAAAGAGGAATATCGCATACAACAAGAAGAAATAGTATATACTGAAGAATTCGACGTTTATGGCTTCCACTAATATCAGTGCTACTCCACTGATTAGTCGCGTCACGTAAATTTCTAGGTAAGCATCTCAATTCAGCATGTTCAACTCCATCACGTTTAAAGAAGAGATGTATTACAGCAACGTTGTTTCCAACATATGCGATACAGACGATAATAATAATAAGAATACGGAAAGGTTCTGGCGTTGGTATGAATTTTTTCCCTTCCGGTTCTTGAACTACAAAAGAACCATACATTGAAATAACATCCAGAGAGTTTAACAAATGAAGAAGAAATAGGTTAAAATTATTGTTGAAATTCTCCACGATAGTCTCTTGATATGAAGAAGGATTTTCCATCATGTTTACATCCCGTGGTATAGTAATGTAAAGAGGAAGTTGAACAATAGGTATTGTTAAGAATAGCACTGCACGAATACCAATAGGACCTAGATGACTATCCAAACGTATCAGGTTCGCGTAAAAACAAATGACAGAGATCTTTCCAGCAACAAGCAATATTGTTAAGATAGTTGGAAGATAAAAACGATGAAATCGGTAATATGCATGACATAGAAGCACACATACATCAAGAACAACAACTGACAAAGCGTAAAGGCCAATAATGGAAAAAATATATACGTCCGTTAATACCTGTTGCGCAACGAAGGAAATAATAATAAGAGCAAGAACAATAAATTTACTAAAAGAGGGAATGGTACGACAACATGAAAAATTTAACGCTAACATTGCAAGAGCTACAATACAGAAAATACATGGTATAGTAAAGAAAATACCGAGAACTGTCATCACTTCACCAAGACCATCATTCATAAGTGTTCTGTCTTTATTTACAATCTCAGAAATGCCAAAAAAGACACATGCAAATGATCCTCCTGCAACGACACTAAAAACAACTAGAGTTATGATAAACACACGACGCTGGGCTATCCTCCGTTGTGCTTCTAATGACTCCTGCGAAACAAATACATCTGATTCTCGATACATCTAGCCTTAAAATAATATATATATATATATATATATATATATATATATAGATGTGTGATATATGTGAAAAAAAAATTTATAAAATAAAGAAGAAGGAAATACAAAGCAAATTTATTATTCTCAAAAACAACAAACCAATATAATGTGAACTGCATGTATCAATAATAAAAAGAAAAGGAAAAAAAAAAACTCTTCTTTCTTTTTCTTTTTTGATGTTTCTCCGCGTTTTCCTTTCTTGGGAAAGAATTCATAATGTATTAACGGGGAATATCCCCTTTCTGGCGTACTTCGATAGGATAGTTCTGCACAGATGGGTAGTCGTACAGAAGTTTGTGATCCTCCAATTTGCATTTTCCACTCCAAAGATCTACACTATTGGGATCAATACCCTTCTCTGCTGCAAGCTCATTCTTAAGTTCCCACACATGTTTCATGGGATCCACCATCTTTCTGTATGCATTAGGGTAAGGATCATGGGCAAGTCCTGATTCATTGGTATTGGATTGTTGTTGTTGTTGTTGATACTGATGTTGATATGATCGATTTTGTGGCATACGGGGTTGATTCATGTTAGTTTCTGCTGCTTTTGAAGTAGTGTTTGGTGTGCCAGCTTGAATACCAGGCGAAAATTTGCCTGCAAGTACATCCTTATATCTTTGCCGCAGTGAACGCGCGTCCAGGCAATCAGAGAAATTCACACCCCGTTCATACAAATCCTTAGTAATATCAGTTATTTTCATAGTGTCTGCTGGATCATTGGCAGGTTCCACTTCTACCTCAATGGTTTCCACCTCAATTTCTTGGGATTCTACCTCTTGTGATGATCGTTTTATAGTTCCTTGCACACGCTCCGCCTCGACATGTTCGGTATTCTTCTGTTTACTCTCTAATATCTTAGCAACAGGTGGAGGTTCCACAACAAATTCATCTCCCTTGGAATCATCATGCGCAGTAGTATTAGTACTTGCATCATTGATTGAATTTGGAGGCGATGCAAATGAGGCGGCCTTTTGCGGAGTTTCTGTCCCCCACATGATCTTCAGAAGGGCGTCGGCCTCTGCCTGAATAGAGCGCGCCTCGTTTTGCAAATTTGTCAATCGTGTTGTGTACGCCTTAATGGAGGCCGACAGCGTGGTGCACTTTCCTTTGAACTGCTCATCATCTACGTTTGCCTTCTTGAGGCTCTCTTGCAGTGACCGCATGGCTGCGCGGGAGGCGTCGTTCATGTCGGCCAAATCCAATCCTTGTCCTTTGCACTCCTCCTTGAGGGCGCCGAGTTGTTTGGTGAGGGCCTCGCGCGCCTCCGCCGCGATGGACAAGAGACGCACCGCAGCACCGCAGCGAACACCAGCGGAGATGTGAAGTCGTCGAAGCATTAACGGTGGCGATTCGTAATGGAGTGAGGGAGAATACCCCCGTGTCTCTTCTTATATATGATCCCCTGAGAAAGAAAAAAAAAGGAAAAAAAAAGAAGAAGCCATACACAGAAAAGAGAAAGTGAAGAAGAAGAAAAAGAAAAGGAAAGAAGTATTTACATTTTTTTTTTTCTCTCTCTTTTAACCTCAAAATCCTGTAATCATTCAGCTCAGAAAAGAAGGATAAAAAAAAGTAGTGATAATTACAAGAAGAAAAAAAAAAAAGAGAAAGAAATGCCTATGCACATACATGTGCAAATTAACTCACTAGAAGAATAGTATTAAATAGAGACAGGACACCGTCCATCATCCCCGGACGCGAACTGGTGCAGGAAAGCCAAGCGCTCCTCATCACTGCATATGATAAGGAGTGTGAGGGAGCAGGTTGGGCACTGCGCCACATTTGACCCAGCGGCAAAATCTTCAAGAGAAAGTTCAAACAAATCCCCACATGGACACGGATAGCGCATCAAGTCCCCCTCTACAATCATTTCGCTTAACTTCACCTCCTCATAGTGAAAGGAATCCATGATTTACAATTAAACTTTATCTTAACTCCCCTTCACGGTGATCTAACTACAACAAAATGGGATTAGGGTAAGGGGAGGATACAGAGGAAAGAGAAAGAGAGTACGGGGACAAACTTTTATGATGCGAGACGCAAAAAAAAAAAAAAAAAATCGAACACAATAATAATAATAACAAGTGTAGAGGGGAAAAAAAGAATAAGAATCCTATTTTTTTGTGGGGGCCTCTCTTAAATATTTTTTCTTTACTATTCTCCTCCTTTCAAGAGGAGGACATAAGTAAAGATCCATACTCAGAAAAAAAAAATGTAAACTGTCGTCACCAAACTGGGAAAAAAAAAACATTGATAGTGACACACTTTCCACAACACCAAAGAAATTACTCAAGAGCCGCCACTACATCGATGGAAATTAACACCATCTTTTGAGCATATTGACAATACAAGGACGAATATTAAGCCTATTACAATCACAGCTACTACTGTGCATAACAAAATACGACGGCAAAGAAGTTGGCGTTTTAGTTCCCTCGCATTTTGGCGAAATAACGAGGACTCGTCTTCCAGAGCGGATGATTTTATCAAAAGTGTGTCAAGCCTGTCACTACGGTACATTAATTTGTCTACATTACGAACCATTTCTTCTTTTACCTGCGCTATTTCCGACCGGATCTCACATATTTTTGTACGTTGGGTATCATTAAAAAAATCCACCTCTTTTTTGAGTTCCGAAGCGAGTGCAACGGGATTACCACGGTGAGCATGACAACGTCGCCGTGCAGCATCAAGAAATCTGAAGGAGATGGCACGATTACAAGAATCCTCCGTCACAGACATGTAAACAGTCCCATCTCTATGAGGAAGAATATCATAGGAATAACCATTGTATCCAAGACATTTTCTTTCTAATATTGCTCCCTTAATACTCGCAAGCACTTTCTTGGCATTTTCACCATGTGTACTTGAAGAAGCATGATATTCTGCCAGTGGAATTCCCTCGGCGGATGCCACAAGGGCATAAAGAATGGTTCCCATTCTTCAACATGAATTAGTCCGCCTTTGAAATTATTATAAATAAATAAATAAAATAAATAATAAATAAAAACATGAATAACATTAGTAGTAACCAGACATACACACGTAAAAATAAAAAAGAAAAAAAAAGAGAATGATAATAATAAAAAAAGGGAGAAAGTTATCGTCTCCTTCCTTCGCAAAATGAGCCAGTTGAATTCAGGATAAAGAGAGATCCTTTTTTTTTGTTTTGAAAGGAGTTATTCACCCAAAAAGAAAGAAAAAAAAAATCGTAATAAGTAAAAAAAAAATAAATAATAGCGTAGGTGAACGCAGACCAAAGGTGAGAAATCGACTCCTCAATTTCTGTATGCTATTTCCATCTTTGTCTTTGGATCCACCTCTAACTGTTGAGAACTATACGTCCAGTTTGATAGCCACTTCTGGAACCACATCAACGCCGGGGCCGGTGTCGCAGTCAACAACGCATTTCGTACAGCTGGAAATGCAAAAGCAGTGAATCGACGAGCTCGCCGTGATTGACGAATATAACGCTCTACACGATCACGGCGTACTGTCTCAAACTGCTTGAATGCGTACTCAAATCCCGCATCCGTGAAAAGTGGAACATCCACAAGTGAAGTGGCAAGCAGTGCGGCATCCTCAACACACAGAGAAGCATCTTGTGCGAGAAATGAAGGGAGTGAACCATGTGCAGCTTCACCAATCAAAACAGCACGTTTATTAAACCAACGCGGCATAACAGGAACTTCTACCATTTCAGTTGGAATAGCCAGTTCTGCTTTACCAAGGGCTTGTGAAATATCTTCACCAAAAACAGCAAACTCCCGACGTAAGAGAGAACGATAGATTTCCCGAACTGTCATAGCGTCCGTCTCAGCAGAAATGTCTACTACTTCTGTAGGTGGATCAAACAGTGTCGCTGAAAAGGCAAGTTGTCTCTTTCCTTCTCGTCGCAGTGGCACACATGAAAGAGTACGGCGTGAACCCCACACCTCAACAGGAACATCGCCGGTAAGAAAACTATCATTGGTAATATTAACAAACCCATCAACTTGCGTCATTCCAAGCGATCTACTACTGGTTCCAACATATTCACCAGGATATAGAAGCTTTCGGATAGTACTATGTGCACCATCTGCTCCCACAACCACATCACCCCACTCTGTTTTTCCATTTTCTAACACAACGTGTACACCACCTTTAATACCTTCATGTGGGAAAAGATCCACCACACGGCTTCCAAAGCGTATATCTTCTACATGATGGCGCAAAACAGTACGGAGATACTCCGCAGAGAAAGTTGCGCGCAAAGGGACGCATCCGAGTTCCTGTTTGACTTGTTCTGCATGGCGACGCGAAACAATAGAATCACTATTGGCAGGAGGGGCCGTACTTAATGGTATTCGGTCTTCTCCCAATACCCGAAGGTTTACCGTCCTGTTCCGCACCTTAAGAAGCCAACGTAATTTTTCATCTAATATACCAAAGAAATCATCAGATACAACATCACCTCCCTCAAGCACATGTTTCATATCAAACGCTTTGTAACAACTTAGTGCATTAGCAAAAAGTGTAAATGGTGCCTGATATGTCGCATATAAAAAAGGTGCCTGTTCAAGAACAACACAATCAATATTCAACCGACGCAAAAATGATGCAAGTGACAAACCCGAAATTCCAGCACCCACGATAACTACTCTCATTAGACTTTGATGTAGAGAAACAATCTTTTTTTTTTTCTTGTCTTTTTGTTAAAGTCTAGATGAGTGGATACTTATGAGATACATTGAGAAAAATTACCAATTACAATTCTCCAACAGGGCAGTTATAGAATTAATAATAATAATAATAATAATAATAATAATAATAATAATAATAATAATAATAATAATAATAATAATAATAATAATAGAAATAGTAATCCAAAAATTAAAAGAAAAAAAAATTTATTCATTTACAAGAGAGTAGAATGACCCAATATGTTAGTGTATGCCAAGTAACAGACGCTTTTCCATAAGAGAACAATAATTATTCCATGCGTCCTTCCAGTTATTCGGTATATCCATCGACTCAGCAATACTTCGGCCCATGTGCAGTCGCACTTGTGCCCCCTCTGCAATTGTTTTGGTGGCAACACAATGTAGTATCACATCACCTGTTTGCGTAATTTTCGATACAGAAAGCTTTGCATTGGCTGCCTTTTCTATAGGAACTATTGCAGCTTTCCTTGAAAGAAAAAGAAAACCATTTAACTTAACCTTCATTTCAGAGGAAGAATCCTTTGAAAGAGGAAATATTCTCTCTTGTAAAGTCATGAGAAGCCAAGTGGCCACTACTGGAGGGAATGGAGAAACACCCTTTAGTTTTTCCATACCTTTTACTAGTAATGTTGCCAGTGAAACTGGTATATAATCTCTCTGTGGAGAAACAGAGCGCGACTCGATAAAAAAAGAACCAATACTATTTGGAGAGTTACTCGCAACGAGAAGCACACGAGCGAGTGCATTAAATCCCATCGCCCAGAAAGTAACTCGCTCGCCACCTTTCGATACCATAGCATTCCACACCGCTGAAGCTAACTGATTCCACTCCACATTTTCTGTTAAGACCGATAAATTATCTTCGGAAACTCCTCCACAAAAAACAAATAAGTTTTCACTCCAAAGAATTTCACCCTTTTCCACATTCTGTGAAGTTATCCAGTTACTGTTGATGCCTTTATTTACAACACGTGGAGGTATAGTTCGTCCATCATGGGTTTTTATGTAGCCTGCTGGAGGTACACAACCAATCATCTATATTTTAATTACGAAGAAAAAAAAAAAGAAACAATTTTCAGAGAAATTAATGAAGAAGAAGAAGAAAGTATGAAAAAAAGATTGTATTACACTTCTATGTTACCAAAAAGAAAAATAATAATAATAATTGAAAATACATCAAACCAAAAATAAAATAAAATAGAAGGAAGTGATCATAGAGAATTTTCCAGAAAGTCACACACACACACAGAGAGATATATATAAACCGACTAATACACAAACTTTCTGTTGATCCTTACTCATCCCAAAGACCACTACTGTAAAATGTCGGTTCTGCCGAGTCTGATGAGGGAGTTTCCTTTATTATGGATTCTTCTTGATTTTTATCCATTGAAGGGTCTGTGGTACTTACCTCTTCTTTACCTGTATCACAGACTTCGTTTTCCACCTCAGTTTTATCTGTCTCCTCCAATTCAAGATTTTTACTCTCCTTTATTGTAGATTCATTTTCTTCATTTTCTTCCATATTTCTTTCATCATCTAGATCCTCTTCATTATCTTTGACGTTGTCACTCTGAACATCTACCTGCTGTTCTCGTCGAGTAGCGCAACCTTCCAGTACTTTTTTTGCAAGAACGACGCTCATAGCTAAAGAAGGGTTTTCATCCTTCAATGAATCCAAAAAAGGCAAGCTGAGTTTCTCTTCTGCGCATCCTATACGTCCAATAACAATGGTTTTATCAGTTAACTCGAGCAAGTTCCATCCAAAAAGACGACATAAAAGTGTGAGTTTACGGTATGCTTCAGCAGAGAGCCGCTCATCAACATTACGCAGAAGTGAATTAAATGTAGTATTTTCTTGAACTAGAGAGGTTGATTGTACAGACATTTCGTATCGTTCTCTCCACTTTTCAGTTTCTTTCTTCTGTGATTCCAACTCTTGACGAAGTGCCATCATTTGCTGCTCTTTCTCTAGTTGTTCTTCAAAAAGCAACTTAAAACTTCCTTCTGAAGTCCTTAGTCGTTTTTCACCAGGTAAAGGAGCAATACACATGTAATGATTTTTATCCAGTAATGCTACTTGACGCTGATATTCACTTCGAAGTTGTTTTAAATCTTGACTTAACTGTGCCAATTTTTCAACATCTTCAACCAAAGTAGTTATTGTATTCCCTACATCACAAGAACGTCTAGTAAGCTCTAAATCAAGAGATCTTTTCCGTTTTTCTGCTGCGATTAATTGTTGTTTAAAACAGCACTCCATAGTAGTAAGGTATGCCATGGTGGTTTCAGCATCCTTAACCGCTGTCTTTCGCCTTAATTCACGAAGTTCAAGAAGTTCATTATAAAGAGGAACTATACTATCTAAACCTTCTTTAGCGAAAATTAAACGTATTTCTGCCATTTTCTCTTGTAGATTACGTAATTCAGTTTCAAGTTCCTCAGTTCGACTTGTCTTTTCAGGTGGAATTGACTGAGAGATCAACAACGGTGCCGAAGGTGGTGAATGAGGAGGTGTCGGTGAAGTAACTGCAGGTGCAAGAAGTATAGTATTAGATGTCTTTAAATGTTCATCCAGCGTTTCTTTCTTCTCTGTTGTCTTTGAAAGTTCATGCAAAAGAGTTTCTGTTCTCGACATGGATTCCTGTAAATCATCAAGCCATGAGGGAACTGCATTAACATCAGTCTTATTAGTAATATTAGTAGCACCACTCGTAGTAGTAGAAACAGGAACAGACATAGCAGTATCTGTAACATCTAATGATGCTTCGGGTAACGTGGATAATTGTGGCTGATCTGCACAAATCTCTCCAAGACGTTTTATTATATTACGAGCAATTATTGTAATCTCTTCAGTAGAGCCACATTTCCTCTGCTGTTGAAATTTCATTGAAATATTATCTGCAAACCCATCGCCGGCGAGAGTCCGCATAAGTTCCATTATACCATTATAAACCAAGGAACTTACAGATTCCTCCACGTAATTCTCTGTGTTAGTGCCAACTGTGCGTAGATCACACGCCGTCTTTTTGCGTTGGTACAACTCCTCCGCAGATGACTCTAACGGCGTTGTGGAGTGTGAGTGCACAAGACCCTCCGGCAGCTGCACAGATAAGTCCTCCTCCTCGTCCTCCATCACATACACATCACTACTGTGACTAGACATGTTTTCCCTTATAAAGGTGAGGTATCCGTATTTGTATCGGTCTTCTCTGAGTCACCGACTGAAACCACTTGGTTAACAATAAAAAAATGGAAATGACAGAAGAAGAACAACAAAAACAAGAAAAAAAAAAAAAAAACCAAATGTTTAGCAGTAAAAAAAAAAAAAAAACATGGGTTCATTCAATACTCTGCACCACCTCAAGTAAATGCCCCAGAGAAGAATAATTATAAAAACCAGACTAATGCATATATATATAAAAGAAACAGTAACAGAAATAAATATATATCTTTCTATTACCTTTTTCTTTTACGCTTGAATTCCCAACTGAAATAGTGTGGGTAAAGAAGACCCATTAAATAAATAAAAAAAAAGTTATTCCATCAGAGTCTTCAAAGAATCCACTAGTGTCGTAGGGAATGAAACAAGCAATAAGTAAATAACTCAACTTACACCGATAAAGATAGAAAAAAAAAAGTACAAAATGCAACAAAAAAAGCAAACATAAATGCAAAGACAGTATACAAACATTATCCCTATTGCTCATTCAAATATTGTTGCACACGTTCCCAACGCTTTTTCTCATCTTCTGAGAATTTAGAGAAGTGATTTACGCTTCCCTTATTCTCCTCATTATCAATCGAGCAACCACCAACATTCCGCATCCACAGCAAAGGTCGTCGCAAATCCGTCTCAGACACTACAAACCTTCTTGCCATCTCATTGATCTTGTGTAAACGCCTGCGCATTCTCTCTTGGCTCATCTGTGACCGCTGCTCCTCCGTGTCCGTGTCATCCTCTAGTAATGCCGCAGTAGAGATGGCACTATCTTCACTAACTTGCGCTCTCTGTGGAGATTGCAGAGAAACCGGTTTTTCAGCAGCGAAGTACCATGCAATCTCTCTATTTGCCTTCGCCACGTCCTCTGCTGTGATGCGATCCCATCGGGGATCTCGAGCCGTTCGCAACGCTGCCTGCAACTTTTTCTTCACATCGCAGGGCTTCACTTCTTGTGTTCGCCACACACACACCTGCTTGGCCGCGTCGTGGTGACAAGTCGCAGTAAAGGTCACATAAGACCCACGCGAGGGAAAAGAAGAGACTGAACCTTCTCTTAACTCCTCTGGCTTACCAAGACGGCCACCACTTTTGGAATTAAGTGGAAACCAAACACTTATAGGATCTTTTTGAGAGACCATCTGCTGTTCATTCAATCCAGTTGAGTCACCATCTACTCTTCTTGAAGAAGTTAAGGGTTTTAGTAACGAAACAGGTGGAGGTGCGGCAAGAATAAAGCCATAACCTCTCTCTACAAACACCTTATGCACAATACCAATCATTCGTATCGGTCGAACCATTGGGATACTCGAAGAATGACGTAAACTACATCCTTTTGGTACTATCAACTGCACTCCAGGTGAGTAAAAGAACATCTTCCCTTTGCTCCCTTTACATTAAAAAGTAAATAACAAGAATAAAAGGGTTCAGCAAACAAGAAAAAAAAAACTATACAACGAAAATACAAGTTAATCCACCACACAATCCCCTAAATAATAAAAAAGACCTCCTCAGCGTTCCTCAAACTGTATTCCTTGTACCGAACTTCATCATCACAACATTCACAAAACAATAATCTCTATTACAAAAAACGAAACCGCAGTACATGACTATAAACACATCAAGAAATGTTAACACACTCAAAATATGACAACACATAAAACACAATATCCTACGCCAAATCCAAGAAAAAAAGATTTTTTTGTTCTGTCTTTCACATTGAAAGAGGTTGATCTAAAGGAAGAAAAAAAATTTTCACAGAGAGACACAATTAGGGCATCACAGACTCTTGAACAAGCCGCTCAAAAACTCACACACATATCAATCAAGAGAAAATGTAAAGACAACACCTACCGCGCTTGCAGCCATACTAGGAAGGGAAGCTACTGCAGCAACAGCAGAAAAAGAAAAATATATTACGGAAGCAATGGGTACAAGAAAAAAAGAAGAGAGGATAAAAAAACGAACACCCAAACCAGCATGGGGGAGTACCAACAGGAGAAGGGACACGTTCAAGAGCAAGTAGAAGGAGCAAGAAAAACAACCAGCAACTCCCCAGCCCCAACACCCCCCACCCACATGAGACACAACAAACCCCATATTAGATTTAAAAAATTATCCACGAGGACAAATAAAAAAAAAAAGGTAGGGTAGTAGTAGACTCAACAAAGAAAACCAAAGGAAAATAAAGTCTGTGGATACCCCGTGTAGGAAGTGACCAAGACCATAGTTGTGAAGAAAACAAAAATGTAAACATCTACACCCCTCGATTACGCTCCATCAACCACAATACCACCTTATCCGCCGATATCTGTGGCTTGAGCGTCAACAGCAGTCTGAATATGCCATTTTCAAGCGAGGTTGCATCTGTACACCGTGTGACAAGAAGAATCTGTACCAGCATGAAGGCCTCAATATCACCGTCAAGAAGCTCCTTCAGCTTAGCGCACTCCACCATGTTGCCGACGTTCGCCTCCATCACACTCAGCAGGAGATCGACCGCGGGTGTTTCATGCTCGAATACCCCCTCCCTTAATACCTCACGCCTCACCCCGACAGCGTCATTCTGCACACCAGCAGCAGCCTTAGCGGCGGCGACGGGTGTGGGCGTGGGCGTGCGGTTAGGCACAGCGGGTGCGGCACCCACCAGTGACTCTCTCACCGGTGTCACTCGTCGCAATCGCGTGACTTCATTAGGTCGCACTGGAGAAACACCGTTTGGCCGCACTGGGGAAACACCGTTTGGTCGCACAGGGGAAACGTCGTTCGGTCTCAATGGAGAAACCGCGTTTGGCCGCACTGGGGAAACACCGTTTGGTCTTGATGGGGAAACGTCGTTCGGTCTCAATGGAGAAACACCGTTTGGCCGCACTGGCGAGACGGGCGACATGCGACGCACCGGTGAGTTGCCGTCTGCGCGCGTGGGCGACGCCTTTGGCCGCTCGCGGGTGACGGGAATGTTCTTCGCCCGCACGTAGCGGGTGAGGCGCGACGCGAAGCCGGTGAGCAGCTCGAACGCCGTCGGGCGGCCCCGCTCCGTCTTGCCGAGACACGCCGCCACCGCCCGCACGAGACAACTGTCGTAGCGGCCGTCCGCCACACGGCGCAGGCGCGGCAGCGGGTCCGCGTGGAGAATCGCGTGGAACGACTGCCGCTCCGTGTGGCCCTTCTCCCAGAAGGCCCGCTGCCGCGTCATGAGTTCAAAGAACGTCACGCCGGCGGAGAAGATGTCCGTCTTCGCGGTGTACGCCTCGCCGGCGACGATCTCAGGCGAGCAGTAGCACGGGGTGCCCACACGCGTCCTCGCCAACTCCACCGTGCGACTCAGCGGCCGCGCCAAGCCGTAGTCGCCCACAAGTGCCTTCGCCACACCGTCGCCAGAACCGTCTCGCATTAGGAACAGGTTCGCAGGCTTGATGTCGCGGTGAATGATGTGGTGCGCGTGGCTGTGGTTGAGGGCAGACAGAATCTGCACCATGATCATCATCACCAACTCGTTCGGCACGTACTCGTCGCGGTTGATGTACCCACAGATCATCTTGTGAAGATCCCCACCGTCGCAATGGGCCATGGCAAGGCAAACACTACCACTGTGCTCCCCACCACACGTCTCCACCCACGCACCAACGTAGCTCACAATGAAGGGGTGCTGCAGTGACCGCACGGCGTTAATCTCCTTCTTGATGCCCTCCACGTAGTCGACAGGCCACAACTCTCGCTGCATCACCTTCACCACAAACTGAGACGGGTACGGGAAGTGGTTCGCAGCATCGCATGGATTCACCGGCATAGCAAGATACACACGGCCATTTGAGCCGGCCCCGAGTAATTCGGAAAGCTGCACCTCCCGCCCCAATATGGGTAACGCCAGCAACACGTCCATAACGTTCTCTCTACAAGCAAAGAAGAGTTACGCTCTCTTTCTACCTCACCAGACAAACAGGATCTTCCTTACAACAGGGACGTCAGAAGCCTCAACCAGAGAAAAAGAAAAAAAGAAAAAAACCAACAACGCAAAGAACGCAGTGAGAACAATGCACACCAGACAAAGAGACACACCAAGAATTACACCCCAAAACAAGAACAAAAAAGCTGCAAAGAGGAGAGTGTGAGATAAACACAAATACACACAAAAAGAGAGAGAGAAAGAGAAAGGGAGTCAAAGGGAAGGCACACACCGCACACGGATGAATGCAATTTCCCACATGGGGATTCACTCCAATGGAAGCAGCTGCAGACGCGTCGCCACACGCTGTCCCAGGCACCGGCCGTGCCGCTGTACGGGGAGTAGAAAATCATCCAAGATGCAACTTGCAAACTCCAGTGTCTGCTCCACCGCTATTCGTCGTCGTTGAAGCATTTCTGTGCGATGCAATCCCTCTTGTAATGTCGTTACTGTTCGCAAAAATGACCTTTGGTAGACCAAATGTGTCTCATAGAATATACGAAGTTTTTCACTCGCAGACAAGAGAGGTTCTACTGTACTTATCAACGCTTGAGAAAGTCCTCTCAAGAAAGAAAACCATTCTTGTGAAATATATGTAGGTCTTGTTTTGTATTTTTCACTGGTATCTTGCGGAAAAACTGTCCGTCGTCCACGAAGAGCTTGCCATCGATACAAGAGGAGAGACTTCTGCTCCAACTCGTCGATTTCAGTGTAATGTGTAACAAATCTACTTCGTAGTAGAGATAGCTTGGATTCTACTTGATTTTGTAATTGATATTGTTGGATTTTTACTTTTTCCTGTGCATCATGAACCTTCTCATGTAGTCTTGCTATTTTTTCTCTTGTCTTTCGATTATCATGCCAGACGTTTAGATACCTTTTTCGAAGCTCATCAGTTTCCTCTGAGAGTGTAGAAAGAGTTAATTCGTTAATCGTTCCAATCTGGTCACATTGTTCTTGCAGAGAGTGAAACTCTTTCTTAAGTGCCTCTTGGTTTGATACTATAGAGACAATATCATTTTTCGAGTTATCAATTCTTGATTGTAGTACTAATATCTGTTGCTTTAATTCAATCACACCTTTACGAAGATATTGCACATGATCCTCAATATTTTTTAGTTCTGATCTCTTTTTTCGTAAAGCTCCTACAACTTCCTCAAGATTTTTTAGGTATTCTTTAGGTGGAGTTGAATTCTTTGCAAGCCTATCTCCCAATAAGTGTTTTTGACAGTTTGCTTGTGGTACCAAAGCTTTACTGTGTATCTTCTCTTTTCTAGGTGTCCCCATTGTAGTATTTGATAACTCTACCGGTTTTATGGTTGTCACCTCTTTTGTCCTTCGATTGGCGTAAAAGACGTGATGTAAGAGTGGAGATGTAACTACAATCCATTCATCCAGTAATTGTATCATAAGTTGATGGGCAACTCCCTCCTCCAGTGCCATTTCCCATCGAGACTGCAATGGTACTTCAACATGAACAGACTGGGAACAAGAGGTACACAATAAAGCATCACATAAATAACTTAGAGAGGTATTGGATACGGAAGAAGAATCTTGAAGTAATAAATCTTTCATATTAATTCGTGATATAGGGTAAAAGTTATTATGAGACACCATTGCAGCATTTAGTGCTTGTAGGACCTCTTCAAATAATATAGGATGTATATTATATTTATGCATATACTGCTGCACCTGTGGAGTCACTAGAAGTTCCATATTATTTGCAACAATGAGATAGGGTAATTGCCGAAGGTGAGAGAAGAGAGGCCACCAGACTTCCCATAAATGCAAAAATGAGAGTGGATGAGCAGGGGAAAAGACGAGAATTAATATATCGCTTCCAGTAACGAGTGTCTGTGGCGGTGATGTTAGAATTTGAAAAGAAAAATGAACCATCATACTTTCATTCAAATTTCTTGAAGATTTAAGTGAAAAACTAAATGGGGATTCACTAGAGATCATCACATCTTGCCTCTTCCATTCTGAACGCATGCAGTGTACTAAAATCTCTGGAGAAGCAAGTGAATCTCCCGCTACCGCACATTTGATGTGTCTCTCACAAGTACTCATTCATGTAAAAACATGCGCATATGAAAAGATAAAAAATAGTTCACAAACTAAATTCTGAAAAATACTCTTAGAAATAACGATAGAATTCGGCCTGAAGAAAAACAAATACAAGGGGAAACAAAGAACAAAATAATAGAGAATGACAGCAACAGTCAAAAGAATAAAAAAAATAAAAAAAAATAAACAATAAAGCAATAATATATTCCAATTCAAAAAGAGAGAGAGAAAAAAAAAAGAAAAAAAAAATAATAGAAACAATAAATAACTTCATTATATATATATATATATATATATAATGGGATATATGGATACAGTCAATAGGCTGCTCTTCCAGAAAAAAAGGAAAACATTTCCCATTACGCTTCAGTATCATCGTTGTTATTTCTGTTAATTCCTATCTGTTTGATGTACTTGATTCAAATCGACCGTACAGAACAAGAAAAAAACAACCCCACAGATAGTTTATGTGTATTATATATTTTTTTTCTTTCTTTTTTTTTTTTTTTTTTTACGTTTTCYTTTTTTTTTTTTTTTTTTTTTTTTTTTTTGAAGAGTTGACGGCATTGTTAGACCTTCTTTGTATCATTCTTACTCAAAATGAAAACAAAAACAATAATAAAAAAAAAAAAAAAAACATTTTTCGGTCCTTTTTTATTTTTATTTTTTATTTTGTTGTTCACGATACTATTTTTTCCTCTTCTCTCTTTCCAAATGAGATCCATCCTTGACATGATTTTGATTTACAGTGGCATCGAAATGGTGGCATTGTTTCATCCATGAAGAGACGGTAATCCATTGTAAGTTCATCGTCTTTTTTGATATCGTGAAGGGCAATAATATTAAGTGATCGATTGGCTGCGAATCCCATATTTGGATTACATGAATGACTAAACGCACCCCAATCGGATGATTCCAGATCCCACAATGCGTAGTGATGGCCATCCCCACCAATTGGCCAAGCATTATGTAAAAATTGATTGTAGTCCTCTTCACTCCACATCAATTTCACATAAGGTTTGGTACAAAGACGTACTAATTTCCCTTCTCCTTCATATATAGTCGTACCAGCAGGGATATCTTGTGTGGCACAGAGATAATATTCCCGAATAGGATCATATGCAGATCGAAATAACGGTTTATTACGAGCACAACGTGTTAAGGCTTCCCGTATTTGCACTTTTGCAAATTCTTTTTGTTTAAAATCAGGTGTTAATCGAAGAATCCAGTCAGCAGAACCTTCTTGTCCGTATGGATACATAATACCACAGTTGGGATTGATCTCTAAAAACACAACAGTTTGATTTGCACGGTCAATACGCACATCCACACGTCCGTAGCCAACGCCTCCCATCATGTGTAGAAATGATATGCGGGCGATGCGAATAATGTCTTGCAGTGCGGGATCATCATTCGGCATCACGCGCCAATTCATTCCCTCATACGTCTCCCACTTGAGATGAAAGTGTTTGAAGTCCTCTCCTTCAGGGAACTGCACCATCACGGGTGGAAACACACGGATTCCCCCCGGCTGTGTAGAGTCGGCGCACACCAACACCGTCGCCTCATCGCCAGTAATAAACTCCTCCACAAGTGCCGTTTGATACTGCTCGAGAAAAGGACCCACACGATCCACCAACAAACGCATATCATGCACTTTACATGATTTGTCCATACCAACGCTACTGTATCCAGAGATATGTTTAATAATCAGCGGAAATCGAAGGGGGGCGCACAACTTCTCCACATCATCCCCAATCTCTATTACAGCATGACGTGCAGTGGCAATACGGCAGTAATGGGCCACACGTTTCATCTCTGGTTTGGAGAGTTCATAATATTTAGAAATAGCACCAGTGAAGGGAACGTTAAAGCTTTCAAGCGCCAGCACCACATCAACTCCTGCCTTATCCTCATCAATAGCACCATCACATTGATTATAAAACACATCATAATCACCAGATTTTACGAGTTGACGAATTTGACGGTACGCGGTTGCCTTCTTCACATAAACAAGTGTAAATACAAACTCATTTTCATCTGCTTTAGTAAAATAATGTTGTGGTGTCTGAACGAGTTCGCCTTCGTATTCCTTTAGCTCACTATCAGACCCCTCATATGAGCATACCAATACACAGACACGAATAGGCGTTGACACCATTCTTCCCCAAAAATATCGCTCTCACTATTTCTTCTCACACCTCCAGTTACTTCCACCCCAAGTAAAAGAAAAAAAAAAAAAGCAGAAATTCACTTACACACTGTTACTGATACACTAGAGTAGTAAGTATGAAAATCTATTTAATAATGTACGGTTATTTTATTATCTCGTTTTGCTATGATGACGTAGAAAAATTATATTTTTTGTATACACAGACTATTTGAATGTGGTATTATATATATATATATGCACTTGTGCAATCTTGAACGTATGTAGGTGTATGTATGTATGTATGTCTCTGTGCTCACCTATGAGTGCAAAATAATATACAACAACAAAGAAAAAAAAAAAACACAAATGTGTGAGGAAGGGGGGAAAAAAAAATCACAAGGAAGAAATGGAAAAAGAGATAAAAACATAATAAAAAACAAAATAAAATAAAAAAAAAAAAAACGGTACTGCTAGCTCCAGAACGACTCCGAAACTACTACACTATCATGAGCATAATACGTTATTTTCTCTTGGATACGGTTCTGCACCTTCAGACTGTTGTGGTTCCCCTCGAGTGAAGATCATACCAGTAGCGTACATGGGCAGCAGAACGTGGCGCACAATCCACGAGATCATAAACGCAAAAACCCCGAAGGGAATGATGTACTCCCGCAGCACAAACACCAATGTTGGCTCATCTGTTATAATATCCATGCTCATCACGTCTCTCCATACTAGAGAAAAAGATAAAAATAAAAAACAAAGAAAAAATAAATAAATAAATTAGATGAATAAAGTATGAAAGCATTGAAATAAGAGCAAGATAAAATAAGAAGAAAAGTAGTCATTGAACTAAACATCATAATTAAAATATTAAAAAAGGAAAGTATTATAACTCACACGTACACTACACTCAAAGAGCCAAAAAAAAAAAAAAAAAAAAAAAACCTTTTTTGTTCCTTTATTCCCAGATTAAACCCTACATCTCCCCAGACTCTCTGCTTTTTTTCTTTTTTCTTTCTGCCTTTTCTCTACTCTTCATCAACAATAATATGAAAGTGTGTGTTACTACTCTTCAGTGTAGTAGGCTTAACGGTAACCTCACGCAACTTTGGATTTTTTGCGAGAGCATCGTGAGCTTGTTTGATTATCCACGCCCGCAGCGGCATCCCGTCCTCCTCTGGATGGTCATTTACTTTGTACAAACAATTGAGCAACAAGTCATCGTTGCCATACTCTTCTGAGACAAGGCGGTTGTGGGGGAAATGCACCTCAATAACAGGAGACTTTTGTGTCTTGACGTAGGAACGCATTACTCAATATGAATAAATAAATCAATTCAATATATAGATGAAATAAAATTTCTTTGATATAGTTAAACTATTTCTTTTTTTTTGCTTTTTTTTTTTTTTTTGCTTTAGTCCTTTTATACAGAAGGAAATATATGTTTCGTCGTCACAGCAGAAAGAATAAGAAAAAAAAGGAAAAAAAAAAAAAACTAGTGTGTTTCAAATTGACATTAAATATTTCCGAATAAAAATACATTCCAACATTGTAAGCATCCATTTTAACTTTTGTACTTCTTTAATAATGCATGTATATTTATTACGTAATGGTGATTTTAGAAAGCAAAACCAAACCACCGAAACAAGAAAACAAATAAATAGATAAATAAATAAAAAAGCAACAACAACAACATGTAAATATTAATCGCTCTTTTCGCTACCATGTTATCCCATCGAATGCGGTATAGACATCCGTCTTTTTTCCTTGATGTCTCCTTTTTTGAGAGAGTGTTGTGAAGCGTAGTGTGGCATGGGTTTGCAGGAGTGCGTGTTCCACGTGAACTTCTGTAAGAGAAAGAGATTCTGCCAGGTTTGAAATATCTTCTTGACTAATACCCTCCCCTGAATCTTGGGAGAAATGATGCATTGCCCTGAGTGCTAACTTTTTCCGTTCACTAACCTTCGCCGCCGTATTTGCCTGTATCAAGAGCATCTTTGCGCAGTAGCGATGGGGAAAGGTGTCGTCTGTGGTGTGGAGTGCGTTTGTGATGGCCAGTGCGCCCCGCACGGCCCTCGCCGCCTCGCCGCGTGCGTCCTCCTGCGTGTCTTCGTCGGTGAGGCCCGAGGCGGCGTCCGCTGCGGGGCCGTCGGTGGCGGCGCGGAGGGCGGCGAGGAGGGCGGCGCGGGTCTGGCGCGGCGGGACCGGCGGGGGGCGGCGGAGGAGCGCGCGGAGGGCGGCGGAATTGTCGCCGGTCGGCGGGTGGTGGACGACCGCCGCGTCAAACCACCGGCACTCGACCGCCGCCGGCCCAAACACCGCCGACACGCGGCCCCGCACGTACGCGACGAGGGCGGCCCCGTCCGTCTCGCCCGACACGGCGGCGATCAGTCGGCCGCAGCGGAAGACCGTCTGCAACTCCACCGCGCGGGCCGTCGGCTGCTGCGGCCACGGACTCGCATCGTACATGTCAAATAACTTTCGCGCCAGCACATGCCGCTTGGTTACCGTCGTCACATAACGAGTAGAAAGCAACTGCAGACAGGCTACAATAATCGGTCGCTCCAGTCCTTTACCATTATTCACGAGATCCTCAACGATAGAACCAATCATAGGTAACGTCCGAACAACATGACGAAAGGACTGCAAGAGAATCAAAAGTACTTCAGAGTGAAGAGATCGTAGTGAGTAGCTTTCTCGAAAGAGTGTCCAAAGGGCTTCACCATGAGATGCATGACCAGCAGAAAGACAGGCCGCAATGGCAAAGACATAAGTTTCCGCCGTAGGTACAAGAGAACGATGAGTTGTGTCTGCACTAGAGATATCAAGGTTTCCAAGAAATGAAACAGCCATAGACCAGCGACCAGAAGCGGCAAAAGCCTTTACAACTCCTTCAGCGTAAGCACAACCTTCCTCACCTGCAATAAGTAATTTAGTATCCTGTACATGTTGACTAATTTCAATAGCTTTTTGCCATATAAAATTTTCTTGTGAAGAAGAGATTGTAGATCGAACACGGTGAAACGTATCTGCACTTCGCCAAAGTGCGTCTAGGGCATGTGTATGTGTCGTTAGTGTTATATCATATCCAGAAGCAAGGGCTTCTTCATAGAGTTTAAGTGCATGCTTCCATGGACGAGATCCACCAAGTCCTGTTTTGTATCCTGTCATTAGACCCATAAGACGGTCTGTCATTTCTATTGGTGGTGATATGTTACGATATAATGAACCTGCATAATTATACAAATGCAAAGCAGTTGACCATGAAATATCGAGATGCATTAAATCGCTTATTGTTCCTGCTGAAATTATTGCACCACTTTTTCGCATTTGATACTCTATTTGGGATACAATTTCATTATCTGCACCTTCTTGTGAAAACCCCAAAAGTTTATTAAAGGAGGAACCACGCTCTGCCCATCGTTCAGTCATTCGACAAGTATAATTCACGAAAGCAGAACGTTCCTCCTCTGTGAGGGTTTTCCAACGTTCATTTTCTGTACCTATAGCATCTGTTAAAGATTTTTGAAATGTATCATAGCCTATCCGCTCTTCTACATGATGCTGTAAAAGAGTAACAGCAAGAGTTCGAAACGTTGTTATTGTAGGGACTTCTCCATCTGCGTGCAAAAGAACTTGAAAGGCTTTCATCGCCTCTGATTTCTTAGTAGAACGTTGAATAGCACGTTGTACCTGTCGTGTAATTTGTGTTTCAGGTGAACCGCGTGCAAGTGCCTCACGAAGAGATTGGTTAGCATGAATAAGAGTATCTTTTGATTTCACTTTATTTATAGAATAAGATCCTTCACCTTCCTTTTTATATGGCCAAGATCCTGCATGAGGCATAACAGTTCCTGCTTCTGTAGTTGTTGATGTTAATGGTGGCTGTGGTGATGATTGTGCAGACAAGTCGGTTCTCTTTTCGCTCTGTTGCCATGCGCGCACTTGCGCCTGACGCCTAAGAGCTTGACTCAATTTCTCCACAGGACGTCTGGGCATTGTGCGTACCTTTAATAATAATAATAATAATAATAATAATAATAATAATAATAATAATAATAATAAAATACAAAGGTGTTGCATTTTATAGTTTCAAAGTCATTCAGTAGAAAAAAAAAGGGAAATAACATAATAATAACAACATCAAAGTAAGAGAGAACAATAAATAAATAAACATATATATATATATATATATATATATATATATATATATATAGCACCGAATAATATCTCTGGATACACCGTTGATCCGAGGAATAAAGAAAAACAAGCAATCATAGTAGGGAAAAAAAGTATGTTAAAAGAAAAAAAAAAAAAATGCTATCAAAATACAACTCCATACATCTGTTTTCAATCTAAAGGATTGAAAGTTAATCTTTAAAAAACAAAAAAAAAGATTGCACAGATGTACACTGGGTATGATAAATATCAATTAATAATTTAATATGTTTATCAAATCGTTCCTACATTACACAATATTCTCAGTTTTTTTCATCGGGAAATGTATGAAATAAATGCATTGCCTCACTCATATTAGATACTTTTTCTCGTACCTGTTCAATTCGGTCATTAAGAGTATTGGCTGGTACCATTGTACCAGAATTCCTAGTACCAGTCATAATTATCCCATTCCAAAGTTCCAGTGTTTTCTCCACCATAAATGGAAAAGACCATGTAAAAGCATTGATAAAGTTTGGTAAATAATAAGGATGAGGACTACTATTATATTGTCGAATATTCATTACACATCCCTTTAAAGAAATAAGTGCTGCACGATTATCATATGTATCACAGTAATTAGGTGCAGAGAACACACAAACTACAGCTGGAACTCCTTTAGATGTAGTACGATACAAATGATAACCTTCACTCTGCGCCTCATGTCCTCTAATGATACCAAGTAAATCATTAGTTTCCAGAAAATTACATGCGGCGTTGTGAGTGTATGTATAGGAACAACCACGAACACTATTCGCGGCGAACATTGTCCCTGGCGCTACAGTTGTCTCTTCCTGCTCTGTCATTGGGTCTGACCAGAGAAGATCACACATGGGACCAGAGGATGGGGGTTCACGAAATCGGTGAATGAGATTAATATCAGAGACGGTTTCAATCTCAGGAGAAAGTCCACCATGAACGCAGAAAAATTTATCATTTACCTTACACGCTAAAGGTAAACAATCAAAGGCTAACATGATTTCATTATACACATCAAGTGAGTACTTATACTCTGATTCTGTTTTAAAATTAAAATAAGAGGTCAAGTGTCTTGACTCATGATTACCACGTAAAATAATAAAACGTTTTGGATAACGTATTTTATACGCAAAAAGAAGTAATACAATTTCCATTCCAAAATTACCTCGGTCTACATAGTCGCCAAGAAAAATATATTGTTGTTGCCCTGGTTTACCCCCAAGTTCAAAGATTTTAAGAAGATCATAAAATTGTCCATGAAGATCTCCACAAACAACTACAGAACCTTGTAGTTCTACAACATTTGGTTCTTTTTTCATAATAGATGCGCTCCGCATAACAATTTCCAACGCATCTTCTACACTAAGTAAACCTTCTCGTGCAAAATGGAATTTAATATTCTCAGGAATAGGAACTCCATCCTTATCGAAAACTACATCATGAGATAAGGGTTCCCAGTTTGGTGGCTGTACACTTTTCATACCTCTTTCAGTACTCAACATCTGTTTAATCTGTCCAGCTGTTTTTAAAGTATTTTGGTCATCTTTATCACTGTTATTATTTCTATCAGTGACTGAAGGGATCTGAACTACATTCTCCGATTCCATATCTCCCGCAAGATCCATATATTTTGTAGATATAATTCAGCAAGAATATAAACGATGAAGCAAAACAAAAAAGAAAAAAAACGAAAGCAATGAAGAATATAAAAAAAAAAAAAAAAAACTATAGGCAGCAATCACGTATGTAAGGTGTTTAATACACCCTCGGTGTATTTCCCTGTATATATATATATGTATATATGTCTGTTTGTTTTTTTGTGTGTATACGTGTATTTCTTCTAATAATGCTTACTTTGCCTATTTTTGAGTTTTCTTCCTTTTTTTTCTTTTATTAAAAGTACTACCTACCACCACCACGCCACCCCTGCTGCAACAAACTGCAAACTCCTCTTGTTATTTAGGAAAATGTTTAATCATAAGGTGGGAAAAAAGAAGAAAAAGGCCGTAGAATTCAAATTAAAACAAGATACAGAACATCTCAAACTCCTTTCACAAATAGTAAAAATAAAGAAGAAGAAAGAAAAAAAAAAAACTCTGATCTTTTAATTTTCTACTCATCTCTGTAGTTCGTATTTAATTCCCTCTTATGAAGTCTCCCTACCCATCATAATCATTCATCATAATCGGATGAGCTAGCAAACGATGACTCATCATCTTCGGAGTCTGTACTGTCACTACCACGACGACGACGTCGACGAGTTTGTTTAGTTTTCGTCGTCGTCGTCGTCTTCTTTTTCTCTACCTTTGCTTTCTTTGGCTGTGGAGATGCGGCTTTTACTGTTTTTGTTGTCCCTCTAGTGGTGATTGTTTTCTTTGCTGGTGCCGTAGTTTTGCGTGTAGTTTTTTCGGCACTAACGACCGATGACTTTGAGCCTTTTGTCTTTAGGCATGTCTCAATGTGTTGACGATGACGTGCGGTGATGGTGCGTTGACACAATGGGCACATCTCATTCACAATACAGGCGCCAACAAGTTGATGAAACTCCTCTGATGTTCCATCTTCACTTTGATTTCGCCGTGCCGCACGTTCATCACGTTCACGAGTTCTTTTCTCTTCCTCTTGTTCACGCCATTCTTCAAGTTTCACTAAATCAATCAACTGTTGATTAACCGGATAGTAGGGAAATCCTATTGTCTGATTGCATCTTTTACACTCTATCGTTTTATCATACATGCTAACATCATAATCAAAGTTGCCACTGCAGTGTGGGCACGCATGCAAAGCCGTAGCACAACCAAAACGACAGAGACATGTTTCACAATGTACCTTTTTACCGGCAGGTCCCATGAAAAGACTGTAATGCTGTTTAGAATCTGGTACCCATTGTGTACGGCACTGTGGACAACTTACCTTCGTATCACGATAGATACCACCCGTGCGTTTCGTACCCAACAATACACGACTTGTGGAGACGGTGGGCTCCAAGTCCTCAAAGTTGATATCCTCATCTTCCCCATCATCATATTCCTCACTGGCTTCTTCTTCTTGATCTGTGCTTTCCATATCATCATTATCATAGTCGATAAAATCATCATCATCATCAGCTAATAATTTGGTAGTTTTCTTTTTATTACTTTTCGGTTCCTTTGTTGTTGGCTTTGTGGTTTTCTGTCGCTTTACCACAGGTTCCTGTTTCTTCTTCTGCTCACGTGGGCGTTTCACCGCGGCCCCTCCCTCCTTTTTCTTTTCCTGTTGCTTCCTCTTCCGCTCCTCCTTTGCCTGTTCGGCGAGCAGCTGCTTGCGGAACTTTGGGTCCGCCACCCGCTCGAATGCCTGCACGAGCCGCTGGAAGGCCTCCGTGGCGCGATCGAAGCGGCTCTTCAACTTGTCGGGGTGCACCAAACCGGCGAGGCGCATGTAATTCCGCCGGGCCTCCGCGACGGGCGTGTCGGCGGTGACGGGCGGGAGGGCGGGGGCGAGCGACAAAACCCGCAGGGAAGCGGCCGCCTCCGCCGCCGGCCCGCAGTCGAGAATCGCCGACGCCACAGCCACCGCGTCCATCCCCCACAGACACCCACTAAATGCACAGGGTCTCTTTCATATATATATATATATATATAGTGAGAGAGAGAGAGGGATAAAGAGAAAAAAGGGGAAAAGGTTAGAGATATATATATGGGCAGGAAGAAGAGTATCAGAAATGGAAGGGGAAGAGAAGAAAATGTAAAAAAAAAAAAAAAAAAAAAAAAAAAAAAATGCTTACTGAAGCAAAAAAAAAGAGAAAAAAAAGGTGATGGACACGTTCAAGGTTATTCTCTTAAATGCCTTTATTTTGCACCACAGTTTTCACACTCTTGACGTTAGTTCTCACTCCTGTATTTTATGATGGCGCCTCTCAGAAGAAGAAAAGGAAAAACATATATACTCACACCCGAACCCAACAGCAAAGAAAAGAGCGAAAAAAAAAACATCAGAAAAAAAAAGAAAAAAAAAGGAGGAGATTGGATTGTGGTGTACATTTATAAATATATACTTTTTTTTCTGTTTATGTGTGTATACATGTCTTCTTTTCCCTATCCACTTGCGCACCTTCACCGTTATTGTTAGTATACGAATATCATAAGCAAAGTAAAAAAAACAAAAAAAAAAAAAAACACGCCACGTGCAAAGAAAAATTAAATAAGGTCTCTAGAGGCGCAAACTCACACTAATGACTAAATCCTATAAAACTTAAAAAGACATCATTTTGACTCAGCAATTGAAACTAATACTGATGCTCCCTCAAGATTGGTGGTTACCATTGAATTTGAAAGTTCATCTTCTGCAATAAAGTCCCATTGACTTTCAGACGGAACAACATAGACCCATTCATTTACTTCCTGTTCTTTGGTCATTTCAAGTTCCTGATTACGCTTCTTTGCAATTTCTTTAATTAAGGGTGCTTTTTCGGTAATAAATGGGTGATCTAAGAGATCCAACGCCGTAGCCCGCTCATTTGCGTCCGTTTTGAGCATCCATTCAATAAGTGATTTTGCACTATCCGAAAAATTTGCCCATCGAGGACCATCGCAGCGAATACCTTTACGTAAATCTCTACTAAGTTCAACAAACCGCTTTCCCTTTAGTGGTCGTTGGCCAGTAAGTATATTATACGCTACAACACCTAAACTAAAAACATCTGCACGATGCATGGTGGCAGCCGTAGCTTCAAATAATCTTAATGATTTAGCAACGGCCTCAATATTCTCTGGTGACGCAAATCCCATGGTTCCACAAGGTACAAATAAAAGTTGTTTCTCATCACTAACATATTCAGCAAGTCCAAAATCAATAATTATAGCTCGTGTATAATCACGAGAAAGAACAATATTATCATGCTTAATATCACGGTGTACAATACGTTTTCTATTGTATAAATAATCCAATCCTTGTGCTACTTGGGCGAGAACATTTGCTAAAAGTGCTTCCACATCACAGTGGTGTCTTCGTACATATTCCCATGCATGCTTCAGTGTGCCCCCCTCACCTGCCTCCATTACAATAACGAGATACAATGGTGTTTGAAATACTTCCAACAGCCGTGCCACGTTAGGATGATCTAGTCCTCGCATAATCTCCAGTTCGCGTGTGATCTTACACCACGAGGAGAAGGACAAAACACTACTCTTCGTAATCACCTTCAGTGCCACACGTGGACTGTTAAAACGACGTCGGTCCTCACACTTATACACAGTGCCAGAGCCACCGCGTCCAATGCGGGCCCCATCAAAGAAAGTAGGAAAACGATCTTGAATGGTGTCAACATAGTCGTAGCCCACAACGTGGAATTCAGAGAGAATGGTGTAGCAACTCTGCTGCAGTGCGGTGATGCTGCGATGATCGAGAAAAGAGAGAATATGTTGCATCACCGTCGCCTCACGTCTCCCAGTGGTGTAGTTGTACATACTGCGAAAGAAGAGCGGCACACGACAGGCATTACATCGCCGCAGCATCTTCCCCATGTAAAGAGATGTGCACGGGGCACAATTACCGCAGAAGATGCGGCCGCACCAGCGACAGTGATGTTTGCCGAACACCGGCGAGAGTTTCTTCTGGCAGAGACGATTCGCACACAAATCTGCGGTGCCGTCCTCACACCACTTCGCTCCTGGAATGATGAGTTCCCGCGAGATGTGCATTCTTTACCGGTGGGGTGTGTGTGTGTGTGGGCTTTAGAGACAAGTAAGGTATATATATATATATATATATATATATATTGTTAGGAAGAAAGAAAGAAAAGAGGGAATAGATGTAAGAGTAAATACGTCCATAAATAATAAAGAAAGCAAATCCTTTTTTTTAAAAAAATAAGTACAGAGAAGAACAATAAAAATAATAAAAAAAACCAGAACAGGAAAATCACAAAAACAAAAAAAAAAAGAAAAAAATCCAATGTGCACAAAGTAAAATATTCATATGGATTTGTTAAAATAGCAGAAAAAAGTTACCAATATTGCAAACACAGATCTACACCCAGATATACAAAAAAAAAAAAAAAAAAAAACAGATGCATCAATATTAAAACTAGGTTTTTTTTTTTTTTTAATCTGCAAGTGTTTTGTGTATGTATGCAAATACTATACTCATGAATTTAAATAAATGTGTGTACGTAAATCCATTGTTTTGAGTATGCCTTTTACTCCAGAGTTCAGCAAGTACACGAAGGCATGAAAGGAAAAGAATAAAGAAAGAAAGGGAGATATAGAGATCGTTAGATAGAGAGACATATATACACAAACCAAGAAAAAGTGTTAAATACGCTTATGTGGAGAAAAAGAACCTCTAGGGTACTTATTTCTAATTCCATGAGTTATCACAATCTATCAAAATCTCTTTACTCCCTTTTCCTTTCCGCTTGAAGTAATTTTCATTTCGAGTGCAACAGTATCCCCGCAGAGGAAAAAACATCGCAAAAGAAAAAAATAAAAGAAAACGAGAACAGGCATATCAATGAAAATGGTACACTAAGTGGTTAATTTTTTGTATATCTCCATGAAAAACAATGGTATTTATATCGACTAGAGAAAAACAACAAAAAGAAAAAAAAAAAAAACACATAAACATGCACATACACACACGCACATAGAAAAAAGAACAATAGAAAAAGCAAAAAAAAACACTAAGATGATTTTTCTAATTGAGTTATATTTTTCTTTGCAAGACCTTTAGGGTACTTGTTAGCAATTTCCATACAAATCTTTTCTACAGCAGTGTGAATATCGTCTACTTGGGGAAACAATTGAGTTAGACGAGTTGTATCTAACAAATTGTTACTACGAGCTGAGAGAAGAATTTTATTTTGTTCTTCAATAGTAAAGTTCTTATATGTAAAAGAAGAATCAACATATTTTTTATACAGATCCAATACTTCATTATGCGAGATGGCACCAGGATTCGTTAAATTAATAGTACCTGTAACTTTAGATATGGACATCTCCATTAAAATAGGTAGCATCTCTGGTAATACGGTCATGCTATTAGGAATGTTTACAACCTTATCATAGTTTACAATTTTGGTAATAAAATTATATGGACTATCATCTGAAGAAATAGGCATTCGAATACGAGCGTTAAGTGTAGTAGTGTTGAAAAGTAAACGCATTAGTCGATCTGTGTATCCCTTTACTGTACTGTATGATGAACCAAAAAAATTTGGAGGATTCTCTTCATCAAATCCAACTCCACTATCAATAGTGTGTGTGGTCTCATCATAGTGAAAAATACATCCTGTTCCAAGATACGTAAAGTGAATATCCCGCTGCGCACACATCTGTGCAAGTACAACGGGAGCCCACAAGTTATCCCGCATGTTCTCCAGCAGCTTTCCAGGCTGTTCAAGGTAGTCAATAGTGAGAAAGGCCCCACCGCGCGTGCGGCCAATAAAACTAACAACACGATCCGGCCGCACATCTATTAACTCCTGCTGCACGGCGTCCACATCATCTGCACGGGAAGTGGCGCCCACCGCCTCGTGTCCGGCTGTTGCGAGCAGTTGAGTGAACATTTGACCAATCCAGCCCTTGTGTCCCCAGACAAGAAACCGCATCTCTCACACACACACACAGAGAGATATAGATAGATAGATAGATAGATAAAGGTAAATTTTTTTTTTTTTTTTTTTTATCTTGTTTGAGTTATTATTTTTTCCTTCTCTTTTACTGAAAAGTATTTGATATCTAATGAACGTACCCTTTAATAATTTCACTTGCTACTCACATAAACAGGGAGAAAGAGATATATGCGCAGTAGGATAAGAAAAAAAGAAAAAAAAAAGAAGAATGATATTTTCATCGTTAAAGTTATGAGATTTTCATTCTCAGTATATTACACAAAGTGCAAGTTAATTTGCAATGATCCAAAAAAAGGAAAAAAAAAAAACACAGATTGCCTTTTTCTTTCTTCTTTCATCACTGCCTCTAGGTGGGGTGGGGTACCAAAAACCGGGTAATAGCCCTAGAGGTAAATCCAACAAGAGTTAGGTCAATAACAACCAATCAAACAACAACACCAATAACAACACTAATAATAACAACACCAATAAGAATCAAAAAAAACTAGAATTAAAGTTTTCCAATAGCACGATACCACAACCGTTTAATTCCCTGTGGTTCATCATCCAAGTTTGTGATGGAATCAAGTGCGGGATCTCCTGCTAGTGCCTTTCGAATCGCTGGATCGTGACGAGCCGCACATCGCTTTAACTGCGCCATGGCCTGTTGACAACCTGAAACCTCAAACATGCTTACCATCATACACTGATGTAATTTCTCCGCCTCTCCTGCGCATTCCTTCACTAAATTATACTGTGAGTAGTCATACTGTCCCTTCTGTCGGATATTCCAGTCCTTTATACAGCTGTAGTAGCCGACCCGCTGGTGCTCACAGGCCCCTTGTGGTCGGTCTGGACTGTAGTCAAATCCCTTCAGGCAGGAACGCCAGAGAGTTGCCTCAACCGCGCAGGGAGCTGGATCTTGCACCTCTGTTGGCATCTCTTGACGGTTGTTTGTTTTATTTATTTATTTTTCTGGGATTCTGTACCGTACGTTTGGATAGTCGTGCACCTTTTTTTTTTTTTCTTTATTCAGTCACTTTTTTTCTCTTTCCCTCTGTACGGGTGTATGTATGTATTTACTCCTGGAATATGTATTTTATTTAAAAAAACTCAAGTGACACTTAAAAAAAAAAAAAAAAAATGCACTTCCCTTTTCTTTTACCTCAGTCCACAGGATTATACTTGTTAACAGTCTATCCCTTACCTTTTCCTAAAAGAAGAATAACAGAAGGAAAAGAAAAAAAGAAAGAAAAAATAAATAAATAATATCTTCTCATTTACTATGTAATGTCTGTATTAACCTCATTTTCTAACAAGCACATCATTAATTATATCCCTCGATATAAGTAATGAATACCTAAAAAGAATTAAAAAAACTCGAGTACTGATAATAATAAAAAAAGAATATGCAGAAAGTTCCTTTTTAAACTTGCTTTCTGTTCTCCCTATCACAAAGGCCACATACCATACACACGCATATATATATATATATATATATATATATATATATACCTTGTTAGATTCATTCTTTTTGATGGCTTTCTACGCTGGTTTATACTCCGATATTACTTATCGCCATATGACCTGCATCCCGTTAAGACGCAAAAACCTTATAAAAAAAAATTTCGTATTTCTTCTCAAAACTTAAAAGAAAAATAGCAGATATTAATTTTTCTACAAAGAAAATAAATAAATAAATATATATATATATATATATATATATATATATATATATATAGTTACAATTTGTCATTTTTGAAATGTATTATGGAAGCCACACCTCTATTCAGGGCAGCTTGAAAGGAGAGGAAAATCAGAGGGGTAATCAACGATATCAAAAAGTTTTCGAAAGGCATCCACCCAGTAATCATGCTCATCTTCCGAGTCCGCGCGAAGTAAGAGTTTATACTCTTTTCTATTCTCCACATAAATAACACAAATATCACGACCAGGTTTAGTCGCTTCTTTATGAGTTCGTAATGAGGGACGTGTGACTATACGAGTATCATGTGTATCGAGTCGAAGAAGAGTTACAGGAGTATGGCACAATTCATCCTTGTAATAACTCAGACAAACCACTGTATTGAAAGAAGCAAGAATAAAGTACCGTCTTCGCCAGTTAGAAGGTCCAATTCGGCTTCTACCAATAGAGAACTTTTCTAACCATCCTTTGCATCCATCTGGAACAATACCAGATATAACAGAAGCGGAAACTGCTAATATCTCCTTTTCCTCTTCTTTGCTTGGATTACTGGTACTACCCTTCACTTCATCTAGTGGACCAGAAGGATTAAGACTGGGAAGCTTTGGCATCGTAACTTCTGTTACATTTCCCATATCTGATGATAATATACCCGCCTTGTTGAAACTATTATCTGATGTATTATCTTCTTTGATATTTACATCATTCTTGTTATTATCTTTTTCATGCTTTCCATTGGTTAAAGGAATATATCCTTCTAAAATATTTTCTCCAGATGATTTAACTGAAGGTGGTTGAGTAGATCCGACGGATACTGGAGGTGATTTCCCATAGACTGTATCTTGATTCACTACAGCAGCAGCCTCCTCTCCCAATGAGCGGATATCGCGAAGGACTTCTTCAATAGCCGCCGTATCATCTTCTGCTAATTGTTTACCGTGACGGAAGTAACCCTCAACGGTGTTACCATCCGGTGTTGTGATGGTTCCTTTTCCGTGTGGCTGATCATGCATAAAAGTGCCACGGTAAACTTTACCACCGAGTGAGTGGTACTCAATGCAGCCAACACCATGCAACTGGCCTGCCACAAATCTACCCGTGTAGTGATCATCATTTGCAAACACCATTTCTCCCATTCCATGCGGTTTCTCCCGCAGCCACTCCCCATCATACATACGGTGACTGTCCGCAAATGTCATGCGTCCTTTTATTTTCTTTCCATTGGCCCAACGGCCCACAAACACACGACGGCCGCCCGCGTAGGATGCGGTGCCGTTTCCACTCATCGCCCCATGCACAAACTCTCCCTCGTAATAATCACCGCCGCGCTGCGTGAGTCGTCCGCTGCCGTGCCGCACGCCGCTCGCAAAGTCGCCAACGTACACGCGGCCGTCCGCAAAGGCGTAGCGGCCACTCGGGCCGTGCGGCACATTATGTGCAAATCCACCGGTGTACTCGTCCCCGTTGCTCCAAATGATGTGGCCGCTGCCGTGCCGCTCCCCCATCTGCCACTCCCCATCGTACATCTGCACACCAGTGGGGTGCGGGTCCACCGACGCGCGAAAAACACCGTGACCGTGCGGGAGATTCTTGAAGAATGTCCCGGTGTGTTCGTCCAGATCAGTGGTGAGAGTTCCCTGGCCGTGCATGCAGTCCTCACTCACCTCACCAGTGTAGATACGGCCACCGGGGAGTCTCGCATTCGTGACGTGACCTTCAGGGGCACTAAGGGGCGCCTCCATCTGAATATTACCCTCATGACTCATGTTGAAGAATACCCACAACTTTAGTAAACCTTACCACTTCTTTTTTTTTTTCTTTTTTTAGTTTTTTATTCGTTTGTAATATGCAGGTATATACTATATTTATGCCTCTCTCTTTTTTTTTTCTTTTTTCTTTCTCACTGTGTTTGTGTAAAAAGACCTTTTCCAATCCCTTTACTCTCCGTCACTCTTAGTGTACAATACTCGTATAACTGTTTGTAGCTACGAGTTTTCCGTATTTACTTTCTGCTTCCCTTTTCATACCCGTACACAGGCATCAACAAGAAAAAGAGGAGGAGAGAAAATAAAAGGTACAACAATACAAACAAAGAAAAAAAAAAAAACAGATATAGGAGAGTAGAGAGGAACTCACGAGAATCACACTCTATCAATTCAAATTGCACTAGAAAAAAAAAAAAACACAAAAAGAAAGAAAGAAAGAATGGTGCATGAAAAATTGATACGTACACTTCTCAATAGAAGAAGAAAAACAATAATAATATATATTCACACGCTCACACAATACACATATTCATTGTATTTGGAGCAAGAATCGTCAACTAAAGAAAAAGGATAACCACAATAACAAGGGTCACAACTATAAAACAAGAATAAATTATAGGACGTAGACGCGAAGATAGTAAAAAAGAACAAAACAAAAAAAAAAAAAAACTTTAGCAAATAAAAAAATTATATCAATATTAAACTTCGATGAACTAAGAGAAAAGCAGGAGAACACTCCTTTTATACTCCTCCTGCTTCTTAAAATACAGTCTCATACATATATATATACGTGTATAGTGAAAGGTATACAGATTGATGCATAAAAAAATGAGTGAACCAGAAGTAGAGAAAAGGGGTTATATACAGGATTTCTCATCCTAAATATTAGAGGATCTAATAATTATTATTATCATTATAATAATAATTATTATTATGTTCTTTCTTTATCTTAAATCTTCTACATTATCTCCCACTTCATTTTCCTGCTTTTTCTTCTGGTGTTTTTTTACCTTGGACTTTATTCGAGGAAGCAAGTCCGTTTTCTTTCCTCTGCTTCTACTAACATTGTCGTCATTGTTATTAGATGCGTACAAGTGTCGTGGTGCCGAAGACGCCCTCACTCGCCCTGTTCGGCTGTCAAAATGCATCGCCTTAAGCCGAAGTACGGCAGTTCCTTCCATCTCAGCAGAGAATGGATATTGAATACCCAAACGGTCTGACATTGCCATGTACTCTACAAGTTTATTCTTCGTTGGTACAAGTTCCTTTGTGAGTGCAGACAACTCTGCTTTAAGTTGTTGTACGTTAACATCAGGAGAATTGCTTGGTCCTTGCGTAAGCGTTTTAAGAGTCTCAAGTTTAGTCTTCAGTCCCTTGTTTTCTTCACTTAATTGCCGTATTTGCTCCTCCATTTGTGTGGTACGTGGAGTTTGAAATTGCTGTAATTCAAGAAGACTAATATTTTCTTTAAGTCCTATTTTTTGCTTGTCCACATCTCCCCCAGTAGCTCGTTCAAGATCTTCACGTGCGGTGTTTAATTCATCCGTGAGTGTTGCTATTTTTTCCTTTAGTTGAAGATTTTCATCACGAAGCATTGACAATTCCTTCTCAGCATTCTCTAATGCCATTTTTCGTTGTTGATGTTCTTCAGCAAGCTGTTCTTGGGCTCTATATGAACTAGCAGCCGCCGCAACATCAGACACTTCCAATACATCTGTCTCTTTCAGTTCATCTAAATGTGCCATTGCAGAGAGTCCTTTCTTTACATTCTTTTTCTTCTTTGGACGTGGAGATTGTGTGGTACCGAGTGGGTCCTTACCATCTGCAACATTTCGCAGTTCCTCTTCCTGTTCTCTCACCCGCTTTCGCAGTTCTGCAATCTCTGCATCTGCCTTGTCGAGGGCTTTGCCGAATGTTTCTGCGGCCTCCACACTTTTTTGCCGCTGCTCCTCCATTTGCCGCTGTGTTTGAATGAGAGACATCTGCAATTGCTCGGCCCGCGCCCGCAGTACGGTGGGATCAGAAGAAGACGGCGATGAAGACAAAGAAGAAGAGAGTCCACTCTCCACCATTCCACTCATCACCGTATTGGGCGCTATCTCTGCTACCGCTACGGCTGATGTCATTGCTGCGGTGACAGGACTAACACTACGAGCAGCTCTACTATTAGTAGTAGTAGGAGGAGGAGGAGTAGGTGTAATGGGAATAGTATTCTTAGCATTCTTTGCAGTCATTTCTTTTAATTTCTCTAATTCATGTTTCATCTCTAATTTCTCATCTGTTATGCGTTGAAGTTCTTGACGAAGTTTCTCACATTCATCCGCACATTCACGTGCCGTCGTCTCAGCTGCTCCTGCAGATATTTCAACTTCTTTTTTATGTTCTTGCAATGACATCTTTGCATTTTGCAATTCCTCACGTTGTGCTTCCATTTCACGATTGACTGCCTCTAACGTAGCGAGAAGTTTTTCTTCTTGACGACATTTATCTTCAAAAGCGCGTCGGTTCTTTTGAGCTATATCTTCCATCTCATTCTTTTGTACTGTTAATTGCTGCTTCTGTTGTGCATGTTCTCCTAGCTGAACTCGTAGTTCTTCCAGTAATCTATTTGCCTCTGTGAGTTTCTTTGTCTCTGCGGCGAGTCGTTCACTTGCCGTACTACGTTCTTTCATATGAGCTTCTTGTAGTGACTCAATTTCTCGAACATATTCTTCATTCTCTGACTCAAGATCATCAATCGTTTGACGATAAATAATAATTTCTGATTTTAGTTTATCAAGATCAAATGACATACGTTTATTTTCCTCTTCCACTCGTTCTTTAGCGGCAAGAACATTCTTGTGAATACTCTCTGGTATATTCGCATCTTGTCCTGCACGAAGAGACGCAATGGTTGCCGTTGCAGCTGCTAATTGTTGTTGTAATTGAACTATTTCTCCCTTATATGTGGTCTCCGCTGCGGTTTTGGCTTTTGCACGTTCTTGTTCTAATTTAACTGCCATTTCTTTTATTCCATCCTGCATATTATTCATTTGTGCCTCAAGTGTATTATTCACATCTCGTAGACGTGCATTCTCAGCAGTGAGGTTCGTCGTTTTTTCTCGCATCTTTGCATCATTTGCCTGCAAAGCTGTTACTTGTTCTTCATGTGATTTCATTGTATTTTGCTGCCTTGTGAGTACGGCGTGTAAACTTTCATTTTCTGCCTTCATTTTTTCCACTTCTTTTCGAGTATCTTCTAGTTGTTTCTTAACAGGTTGTATTGTATTTTCTAATTTTGAATTTTTGGATTGTAATTCCGCGTATTGACTCATATTAATAGTTTGACTTTGTGCTAACTCCATATAGGCAATAGTTTCCTTCGCCTTTACAAGTTCATTTTCTAATTCTTCTACAGATGAAAGACGATCTTGCATAGCATCGTTCTTCTCTTTTAATTCATTAATACGCTGCTGTAATTGTTGCATCTCTTCACATTGCCGTCGAAGTTTGCCAAGTTCTAGTTGTGCACTTTCATACTGTTCACTTAATGCCTCTTTTGCTGAGGTAACACTATTCAAATCATTCGTAATGGTAACACAACGTTTTAATAAGAAATTAATACGTTGTTTATCCTCTTGAGAACTACGTGTTACTCGAAGGAGTTCTTCCTCTTTCGCTACAGCCACCTCACGGAGTCGTTTTCCTTCTTCAATTAACTGATCTCGCTGAAACTCAATGCGTGAAATACGCTCTTTATTTCGTTCCAACGTTGCTAAGATTTTAGCCTCATCAAGTGCGTTGTTGTTGTTGTTATTATTACCAACACTAGCACTTCTAGTAGTATTATTATTAGTATTACTATTATTACTATTCTCAGCATATGATCTTTGTGATGATGTTTCCGTATGAATACTTCGTGCATCCATGAGTTGTACTTCTAACTCTCTTACACGTGTTGTAGCGAGTTCAAGCTCACGCACAAGGCTCTCCCTTTGTACATCTATTGCTTTAAAATTCTCAATTGGAACCATTTCTTGTATTTGTTCTTCTAATTCTGTATTCGTACGTTGAAGTTCTTCCATTACTTGTTGATTTGTATTAGTTAACTCTGTCAAACGTTCTTCCAACTGTTGTTGAAATTCCTGATGTGCATTCTGCAATCGTTCATCTGCGGCATCACATTCTTTTTGAAGTTCTTTACAACGTTCACATGGGGCAGATGTGTAAACTTCATCTTTTCTCTGAGAATCCTCATGTGCTACCGTAACCACCGATGCTATCCGCAGTTGTTCTTCTACTTCTTTTAACTTTTGCTGTAGGGCATCATTTTCTTTTACTTTCAACTCATGTAATTGTTCACCTGTAGATACGGAATCCTTCAATAGTTTCACCTGCCCCTCTAAACGCATGACCTCATCCTTTAACTGTTGAACCTCCACTTCACTAGACAATCCCTTACCGGATTCCGCTGACTGTAGTTCCTGCTGTAAACGAATATTCTGTGCCGTCTTTGCCTGCAGTTCCTCACATGTACGCCGTAATTCCTGCCGCAGTTCATCCTCACGTTCACTGCGTCTTTCCATCTCACGGCGGAGATCCGCAAGTGAAATATTTTCCGCCTCCGTCTCTGCAGAAACAATACGTACGGCCACAGAGAGCGGGCCACGGCTAATCGCCTCCTGCTGCTCATGAATAATAGCGGAAAGTCTCTGCGCATTCATATGGGCATTCTGTACTTCTCCAATAAGTACTTGCACCTCCTCATTAGAAGATGCGTGATTCGCTTTGTATTCTAAAAACTCATTCTGTAATTCTTCTACGAATTGTTCCAACTTCTCACGAGCGGCACTCTTAGAACCACCAAACCATCCTGTCTTTTCCGGTTCAAAGAGCGAATGTAACACTGACGTCGTCGAGAGTGGACTTTGTGCGAGTGCTGTATACTTCGCCTCTTGTTGTGCTAAATAATCGGCAAGTTTCGCATTCTCATCACATACTTTCGTAAGTGAACTCGCCAGTGTGGCATTTTCACTCTCTAGTTGCCGTAATCGTTTCACAAGGGCATTTCCCTCTTCAAATGTATGTACTACTTGGGTGGCACTAACCACTGGTTGTCCACTGGTAGTGCCAGTGCCACTGTTGCTGTTGTTATTGTTATTGTTATTACTGTTGTTGTTGTCATTATCTGCAGAGCCTTTCGAACGTGTGAGGCGCACCACTTTTCGTGTTCGCGTCTCCGTGTGCTCTGCTTCTTGCATACTGGCACACACACACACAGTCACACCCGCAGAAATCTCAAATATATAAGCGAGTTCTCACTAATTCAACTCCCCTTATATATCCATAGAAAAAGAGAGAGAGAGAGA